TATTATTTTTTAAAAATGAGTTTAAGTGTTAAATTTTTATCACGTGAAAACGTGCCAAACTTCGAACACCAAAGCTTACGGACCAATTAAAGACAGGATGCCTAGGCGCGGTATGTTTTAGGCGCTTTTAAAATTGAACATTTAAAATAATAATATTGAAACTAACATTGTTTTAGTTAGAAATTATTAATTATTTTCTTAAAGTTTAAGTGTTAAATTTTTAAAAAATTTTAGTAAAAATCTTTATTATTTTTTTAAAATGAGTTTAAGTGTTAAATTTCTATTACGTGAAAACGTGCCGAACTTCGAACACGAAAGCTTACGGACCAACTAAGGACAGGATGCCTAGGCGCGGTTTGTTTTCGACGCTTTTAAAATTGAACACTTAAAATAATTATATTGAAACTAACATTGTTTTAGTTAGAAATTATTAAGGGAGACTCACAAAAATGCCCCTTTTTCAATACCCCTTTTCAAAAATGCCCCCTTTGGATTTCCATTTTTAAAAATACCCCTTTTATGTACAAAATGACTAAATTACCCTTCTTTTAATAAAAGATATCATAAATATATAAGGAAATATAACAAAATTAGGTCTACAAAATACAAAATATTTTTTGGCGGGAAAAGTGATCCCCCAATTTTTCCCGCCAAAACACTTGTAAAAATTTGTAAAACTTTTAAAATACCTTGTAAAATTTTCCCGCAAAATTTTTTCCCGCCAAAAAATTTTCCCGCCAAAAATTTTTTTTTGCGGGAAAAGTGATTCCGCAAATTTTTTGGCGTTAAATTTTTGGCGGGAAAAATTTACAAGGTATTTTAAAGGATTTTTACAGGGTATTTATAAGGTTTTACAATGCATTTTAAAAGGTTTTACAACGTATTTATAAAGTATTTATAAGATATTATAAGATTTTACAAGCTATTTTATAAGGTTTTACAAGTTATAAGGTTTTACAAGTTTTTTATAAGGTTTTACAAGTTATAAATACCTTATAAAATCTTATAAGTACCTTGTAAAACCTTTTAAAATACATTGTAAAACCTTACAAAACACTTGTAAATACTCCGTAAAACCTTTAAAATACCTTGTAAATTTTTCCCGCCAAAAATTTTCCCGCCAAAAAAATTTCGGCAAAAAAATTGCGGAATCACTTTTCCCGCAAAAAAAATTTTTTGGCGGGAAAATTTTTTACGGGAAAATTTTACAATGTATTTTAAAGGTTTTTACATGTGTTTTGGCGGGAAAATTGCGGGATCACTTTTCCCGCCAAAAAATATTTTGTATTTTGTGGACCTAATTTTGTTTCAAATAAGGGTAAAATGGTAATTAAAAATTAAAAGAGGGCAAACTTAAAAATGGACTCTCAAAAGGGGCATTTTTGAAAAGGAGTATTGAAAAAGGGGCATTTTTAACAATTTTTATTTTCTTAAAGTTTAAGTATTAAATTTGTTTTAAATTTTATTAAAAATCCTTATTATTTTTTGTAAAATGAGTTTAAGTGTTAAATTTCTATTACGTAAAAACGTGCCGAACTTCGAACACCAAAGCTTACGGACCAACTAAGGACAGGATGCCTAGGAGCGGTTTGTTTTCGACGCTTTTATAATTGAACACTTAAAATAATAATAATATTGAAACTAACATTGTTTTAGTTAGAAATTATTAATTATTTTCTTATAGTTTAAGTGTTAAATTTGTTTTAAATTTTAGTAAAAATCCTTATTAATTTTTAAAAATGAGTTTAAGTGTTAAATCTATATTACGTGATAACGTGCCGAACTTCGAACACCAAAGCTTACAGACCAACTAAGGACAGGATGCCTAGGCGCGGTTTGTTTTCGACGCTTTTAAAATTGAACACTTAAAATAATAATATTGAAACTAACATTATTTTAAATTTTAAGCGTTAAATTTATTTTAAATTTTAGTAAAAAAGAGTTTAAGTGTTAAATTTGTTTTAAATTTTAGTTTAATTATTAAATGAGTTTAAGTGTTAAATTATTTTAATTTAATTATTAAATTATGTTAGTTTAAGTGTTAAATTTTAGAATAATTATTAAATGAGTTTAAGTGTTAAATTTGTTTTAAATTTTAATTTAATTATTAAATTATTTTATTTTAAGAATTAAATTATTTTAGTTTAAGAATTAAATTTTAGTTTAATTATTAATTGAGTTTAATTATTTTAAATTTTAGTTTAATTTTAGTTAAAAATGAGTTTAAGTGTTAAATTATTTTCTTAAAGTTTAAGTGTTAAATTTTTTTTAGTTTAATTTTAGTAAAAATGAGTTTAAGTGTTAAATTATTTTTTTAAAGTTTAAGTGTTAAATTTTTTTAAAATTTAACAGGATGCCTAGGCGCGTTTTGTTTTCGACGCTTTTAAAATTGAACACTTAAAATAATAATATGGAACTAACATTGTTTTAAATTTTAGGTGTTAAAATTGTTTTAAATTTTAGTAAAAATGAGTTTAAGTGTTAAATTTGTTTTAAATATTAGTTTAATTATTACATGAGTTTAAGTGTTAATTAAATAATTTTAGTTTAAGTGTTAAATTTTATTGTAATTATTAAATTAATTTAAATTTGTTTTAAATTTTAATTTAATTATTAAATTATTTTAGTTTAAGTATTAAATTTTAGTTTAATTATTAAATGAGTTTCGTTATTTTAAATTTTAGTTTAATTTTTAGTAAAAATGAGTTTAAGTGATAAATCATTTTCTTAAAGTTTAAGTGTTAAATTTGTTTTAAATTTAACAGGATGCTTAGGTGCAGGAAGCCTAGGCGCGGTTTGTTTTCGACGCTTTTAAAATTGAACACTTAAAATAATAATATGAAAACTAATATTGTTTTAAATTTCAAGTGTTAAATTTGTTTTAAATTTTAGTAAAAATGAGTTTAAGTGTTAAATTTGTTTTAAATTTTAGTTTAATTATTAAATAATTTTAGTTTAAGTGTTAAATGTTTTTAAAATTTTATTTTAATTATTAAATTATTTATTTTAAGTGTTAAATTTTAGTATAATTATTAAATAAGTTTAAGTGTTAAATTTGCCTAGGCGCATACCAAAGCTTACGGACCAACTAAGGACAGGATGCATAGGCGCGGTTATTTTTCGACGTTTTTAAAATTGAACACTTAAACTAAATTTTAAAAAATAATAGTGAAATTAACATTGTTTTAGTTAGAAATCATTAATTATTTTCTTAAAGTTTAAGTGTTAAATTTGTTTGAAATTGTAGTAAAAATCAAATTATTTTTTTGAAAAACAAAATTATTATGATTTATGATTTTTTTAAAAAAAGGTAAGAAAGAAAAGATACCTGGTGGTCGTAAACTCACAGATTCCTTGCTGGCAATATTTTCTTCAGCAACAAGCAGCTCTTGCTCCTTCTTAAGTAGCGAAGATTCCCTTTCAGAGACAGCCTGTTTTTGCAAGGACAAAACAAAATCAATAAACAGACGGGAAACAACATGCTTTTGGTAGCTCTCAAAGTTAAGAACTTACACTAGATATACACTCTATTGCAACGCCTACATCCTTCTTCATAAGCCGATTTCTCTCACCTATGTGTTAGGTCAGACTCATATATCCACAGAGGCCTTAATCTCTTCATACTTAGACATCAATTCGTTTTTCTCCAAAAGGAGAAGACCCATGTTGTGTTGGTAATCATAAACCTACATGAAAATTAAGATCAATATAGCAAATGCCAATAATAGGTTTTCTTAATAAAACAGGCAAGAGAATTAATAAGCTAGCCAATATAACAATCTAAACCAATCAAGCTTAAAAGAGGAAACAAAAGCAGAGCAATAAGTTCAGTAAACCAATTCCATCCAATAAATTGTCAGGATTGACACAGGAGATGACTGAAACAATTAAGGGAATTCACATAAACGAATTAAATTCATTCATATGAACTGAAGAATCAAACTTTTAGGGCACAAGCTAATCCCAGTAATTATAACACTCTCATTCCTAAGAACAAAAGCAATTAGGAAGAGAAAAAACTCACGTCAGATTCAAACCTACGAGCATTATCCTCAGCAGCTTCGACCGTAACAGCAGCTTGTCTCTGAAGAGCAACACGTTTCTTATGCTTCCTCCGCCAATTCATCAACTCCAGAACCAATAGCACCATCTCCAACCCCCAAAATCGAAGCCGCCTGAGGAGCAGGAACCCTAACCTCCATTGAAAACCTTAGAAGAAACACAAGGGCGAGCAATAGCAGATCCGACGACTACAACAAAAGGACGCGATTAATAGAGAAAGAGATAATAGTGAAGCGTTTAAGGCAGAGATAGTGATCATCATCGGAATTCAAAGAGTTTCTGTATAAAGACATTCGAAGAAGAAGCGATAAATAGAGACAGTTTTTACATTCTCTCTCAAGGAAGAAATAGAAGAAGCAAAGTGTTAATTAGGTCTTATTGATTAATGTTATTATTATATATACTCAAGAGATTACAATAGAGCCGTTGGAGGATTTATGTTTCCTTATTTCAATTTCCTTTTCTTTCCATGGCTTTATTTCCTTCTTTTTTTTTTTCCTAGTATGGTCTATTATTAAATAAGTAAAAGATATATTGATCTCTAGCACAACTAAAAACTATAACAGTCGTCCAAAATTTCCTTAAAATAATAAATTTCTAATGTTAATAAATGAATGTAATGATCAATCTGACTTCGAGGTTTGATTTTCTCCAATATAGCTTGAGATTTTCGAATTGGCTTTATTTCCAATAGCTTATTGGTTTTTGAATTGTTTTTGTTGCAAAAAAAAAAAGAAAACATGGATCTGAAATCTGAATCTGACTATGTATTAAACCGAATGATATCATATTTTTCTTTTATTTCATTGTGTCGAACATAAGAAGGGAAAAGCTGTGAAGCCAAATAAAAAAAGGGAAATTAAAGAAAATACATTTATTTGATTTATTTCATTGGTTATATTATTATTTGGTGAATTATAAACAAGAAAGTAGGCATATTGGTTGTATGTACTTATATATAATTCAATAAGCTCATTCAAAAATTCCCAAAAACAAGTATCTCAAATATTGTTAAAATTTACCCCCGGGACAAATCAACGAGCCATTTAAGAAAAAAAAATTATAACAAGTGAACAAATATAAAATAATTAATGGGCAACAAATTAAAATTTAGGGAGTTAAAATAGTGTTAATGAGAAGAGCGTCCTTGCAAAGCTTCAACAAGTTTGTGTTCCTACGAGCAAGCTCAGCATCGTTACCGGCACGATCGTTCAAAGCGGTTTCACAAGCCTCGCCGTCGCTAATGGCCGTATTGAGCCAAATATCGACGTCGATGAACGAGTTTTGCATCAAAGCGGCTAGAGAATCGTCGAGCTGCGCGACCGCGTCCAAGTAATTCTTAGAGCAATCATCGAGGGTGTCTTCTAAAGCCGGCTCGAGGTTCTTTTGCTTTAGTTTGGCTTTGATGTAGAAAGATGTGTCCGAAGCATTCGAGGACGCGATGCTTAAAGCGATCACGCCGAGTTTTGGTGCGGTTGCGGTTGCTGCCTCAGGACGGGACGTTAGGCTTGCAACGCAAAACGGTTTGTCTTCGGATTTCTCGCAGAGTTTCTCCGCTAGGGCTTTGCCTTTCTCGGTGAATGTCGGCGGTGGAGCTTTACCGGCGATGGCCACCGTGACGTAGACGGAGAGGAAAAGGAGAAAGATCCTTCCGGCCATTTTCATCGTTTCTTTTTTTCTTTCTCAACTTTTCTTCTCGTGGTTATTAATTGTTACAAACAAATTGAAAATTGGTTATTTAAAGAGCTTAGAGGAAGGTATTTTTGGGTTAGTTCTATTTTTTTTTTACATCTGTTACTCTATTTTTAAGTTTTTTTCTTCCTCTCTCATTCTATTTTTAGGCTATTGGTAGTTTTTGCCATGTTTCTTAATTTGAGTTTGGAGAGATTTGTGTTATAAGAAAGAAGGTCAACTCCCATTTGTACATAGTCAATGATGGCCCTATGATGGTCTTAATTTGTAGGAATGTGTAGGTTTGATATAGATGTGTTCGATCTAAATCACCAAATTGTTTAGGGTAAAATAAATGAAAATTATATGTTTGGGTCTAAAATAAGTTTATGTTTGAGTCTAAATAATTTATTTTAACATGTATTCGTTTGTGTGATTAGTGAAATTTCTGTTAAGAGTGTTGACACACCGGTGTAAAATTCAAACCTAGGCCTATAATGGGCTTAGAAGAAAGCCCAATTAGAAAATGATGAGGTTTTTGTGAAAGAGTAACCCTAGAAAATATCATATATAAAAGATATCGTCTTCTTCAATTAGCTCTTCTCCGCGAAAATCAGGGAGAGGCTAAAATGGTTTCGTTGAAGCTTCAGAAGCGTCTCGCATCCTCAGTGCTCAAGTGCGGGAAGAGAAAAGTATGGCTCGATCCGAACGAAGGAAGTGATATCTCCATGGCTAATTCGCGTACGTTGTTCTTGATACTCTCAATTGTTGCTGATTAGATTTTTCTCCGTCTCGTGCTTGTTTTGATATGCGATCGAAGCTTTTTGATAATGATAGTAGAAAAATAGGATACTGTAGCTTAATTCGTAGGTGACGTTGAATGATTTTAATTCAGTCTGATGAAGTTGAGCTCGGAAATGGTGTTGCTATTAGATTGCAATCTGATTTTTTCAAATTCTCAAAAAATGAGTTTCGTTTAAGCTTTGGATTCACTATGTTCTTCTCGGATTCATGGTCTATGGTTTCTATTTGTTACGGAATCAGCATGCCATAGCACACTGTTGGATCATGATTCTTGTGTGTTTGCGATATGAAATGGTGACGCATCTATATACATTTTACTATATTTAGAGTAGTTCTGATTAAGGATTTTGGATTGTTATGTGACTTTAGGCCAAAACATCAGGAAACTTGTGAAGGATGGTTTCATCATCAGGAAGCCAACAAAGATCCACTCACGATCCAGGGCACGTCAATTGAATATAGCCAAGAGAAAGGGACGTCACTCTGGTTATGGTATGTAACATTTGACCAACATTCATCAAAACTTACAGCTGATGTCTGATGCGGCTATTGTGTATAATGGTTAAGGTAAGAGGAAGGGTACCCGAGAGGCAAGGTTGCCAACAAAGGTATTGTGGATGAGGAGGATGAGAGTCCTGAGGCGTCTTTTGAAGAAGTATAGGGAGACGAAGAAGATTGACAGACACATGTACCATGACATGTACATGAAAGTTAAGGGAAACGTCTTCAAGAACAAGCGTGTCTTAATGGAAAGTATTCACAAGTCAAAGGCTGAGAAGGCTAGAGAGAAGACTTTGTCTGACCAGTTTGAAGCTAAGAGGGCTAAGAACAAGGCTAGCCGAGAAAGGAAACATGCTCGACGAGAGGAGCGTCTTGCCAAGGGTCCTGGAGGAGACATACCTGCCGCTGCACTACCGGCACAAACCGCTGAGTAAGCTTTGATCTTTATCGTATGTGAAACAAAATTGTTAATGTGTTGTGGCAACATTCTAAACTCTGTCATTTGGCTGTTTAATTTGCAGGGTACCTGCGAAAAAGTCTAAGAAGTGAGAAGCTTGCTCGGTAGTGAATTCTCTTATAAGCAGTGATTTTGAATGGTTTTTGTGATTCAGCTTTGTGAAAACTCTTTCTTTGCGACAAATATGAGAACCTTTGTCAGTAGTTCGTACTGTTTCGGGAGCCTTAATTCTATTCTTCATGTCCTTTCCTCTCTCAATCATCTTAGTAATACACTATCTATAAGTTTTAGTACGTAATTATGGTTTAGATTGGATTATAGGCGAATTAGAAGAGAAATCAAACATCTTCATCCATAAGATTCATTAAGGTAATGTTTGTACTAGTAAATCACGATATAAAACATATCTTAATTTTTACCAAGGATAAAACATATCCTAATTCCCATTTTTTCAAAAATATATATAGAGATCTTTAAACAAAGTAACAAACCCATGAAAAGTTTACAAATATTAAGTCCGGTCTGATCCGGTTAAGAACAAAACTTTTGAGGCAACAGCCAGGAAACAGAGAAGATCCTAAGTTGTCTGACTGTATAGTTGAACCCAGACAAACTCTTCCTTGTAGCTTAAGCTCGAGTCACACGAGTTCTCACACGTGTACACCACGATTGTTGCCCAATCGAGAGATTCCCTATCGTTTTTCCCGCCGAAGAAGAACAGTAGCTGTGGCATAACCTGATAAAATCGCCATTAAAATGATCAATAACAGAGCCAAGCATCCAATATGCAAGAAGAGAGAAATGAAATGGGGACAATTGTGTTTTTATTGTTTGTAAATTCTTGACTCAGCTAAAATTGTTAGTAAATTCTTGACCGGTTTATATAGATAAGTTAAAGAAGTCACTAAGACCAGGCTAAATACAAGTTTCATGAGAGAAGAGTTCATCAAATTTAGGTGAAAAAGGAAAGAATTACCTGAAATTCAAAACAACGAGGACCACCACAAGATTTGCAATTGGGAAGCTCAGATTTAGAGACTCGTCCGCTTGCTATTGGCCAAAGGGGTTTAGCACCAGAGCTCCGGGAATATCTGCATCAATATGTATTTCACAAATTGATGTTATGAGAGAATCAAGAACAAAAGTATGCAGAAAATCACAACTTCTGTGTGTTTGAATCACACCTTAGAACTTGTTCAGGTGCTTTGGCTACACGTTGCTGGAAATTAACCCAAGTCTTCTTATCAGCATCTCCCTGTACAAGTATGAGAATTGAGAATCATTTGAGGCATTTTGAAGTTTGCAAAAATGGCCACGAAAAGTGACGTTACCTCAAAATCGTTCATTAGCGATTTCATTTGGTCGTCAACTTCTCTCTTTGAGACCAAAGGTTTAGCTATTTCATCATCTCCTGACATCTCTGTATCATACTCACTTTCATCCTCGTTGATCATTACAAATTCTTTCCATAGACTCTTACTCGCAACTGCACTGACCGAAAAAATTCATATCACTAGTTACACACAATTCCAAGGCTCGGAAAAGTTTGTGAATTTTGCTAACCTTTCTGCTTTTGAGTTAGAGCAACCCCATTATTGACTCGGCCTGATTCAGATGTTTCAATAACCGTTCGAAGCTGTTGGCATTCGGTTTTATGACCTAAACGCCAATGCAGGGCCTGGAAATCAGAAATAAGACCAGATTGTAAATTTATTAAAAAGAGCGGATCTAGCGGAACTACAGAAACTACGATGCACATATGTACACACCTGGTGTTTTTGTGAACAGTATCGAGCACCTTTGCAGCCACTACATAGTTTATCTCCTTTCCACGTTCCACACCAAGTGCAAAGCGGAGCTATAAAAGTGAAACAAACGATATCAAGAATTGACGATTAAAAGACAATTCTCAGAATTGAGTCAAAACCATCATTCAGTTGATAATACCTCCATCTCCCACTGGCTTGTCTGTTCCATCGTGCTTTGGAGCCTCACTCGAGTAAAAAGGATTAACCCGAGGCAATTGGCAACGGAAAACCTTCGTACTTTAGGAACAATAAAAAAACAGTACTTTAGTGTAACATTCCATTTGGAGAGGAGACAAACAATACAAAGATGCAATATATAGTAAGAGGGTTCTTTCTACCTCCGCATAGCCTTCTCGGGGGCACGTTTCCATTGTTCATGTTGATCACGAAGGAGACAAGACATAGATGGACACATGAAGAGAAACAGTGTCCGATGAAAAGCTGATTCCTTATCCGTTAACGGAGCATAAAGCTGCCAAATATCCCCAAATCTCATAAATAAAACAACAAAAAGACATGCAAGAAACAACAAATTAGGTTGTATGAAACTCACCTGAAGTACAAATTGCATAGGTTCTTCACATAAATCACATAAAATTGACTTCCCTGAAGGTAAATTAACTGGATCCAACCATGCCTATATTCACAAATATCAACCCAAGAATCAATACCTAAGAACATGAAAGAAGAAGACACTATGATTGCAAAAATTGAAAGATGTTTTAACATAGTACCGGAACACCACCAGCTAGATTAGGGAACAGTTGACGAAGATTTGACCATGTGAATTTAGGACTCTCTACGAAACCTAACATCACAGGTTCATAATCTTCATCATCTTCCTCATCATCATCATCATCAAATTCATCCATGTTTGTCGGTTCCACCGCAGTTTCGTCATCGTCATCATCATCAAGCTGAGTTATTCGGAGACCTTTGAAATCATCCATGGAGTCTCTGTTGAAGCTCCTCATCGATTCTTATGTATTGAATTGATGAACTGATGACTGCATAACAAACCAAGGAAATGAATTTTAGGGTTTTACTCAAAACCTCTCAAAAGTATTTAGCAATAAACAATGCACAAATCATAATCTGATAATGGGTTTTTCACAAAATACGAATTGACTATGTTACCAAAACTAAACTCACTGATTTATCAAGATTTAAGAGCTCAATACGCAGCTAACTACAAATCACAGAATTGGTACGAACAAAGGTTAAAAATGAGCTCATTAGTCACTATTAACAAGAATCAAAATCCAAAAGAAACTTACAACACCAGATGTTCTTCAGATAGTCTTTAAAGGTCGAATCTTCTTCTGTCAATTGAAACAGCAAAATTTTGTGGACATCTTCACGAAGACGACGACGAAAGCAAAAACAAACGTTCCTTTGGGCCAACAACAACGAACCCTAGACCAAACGACGACGTTTTAACATTTAGGCCTTTAAAAGTTTAAAGCCCAATAAAGTAGTTTAAGCCCATAGAGTTTTCTGAATTGGTTGCGAATAAAAGAATAACCTTATCCTGGACAACCTTATCCCTAAAATCTCACCGGAACTCCAATTCCCGTTCACCGGAGCTTTCTGTAAGCGACGATTCTCTGCTCTCTAGCTAATTTAGTCGAATCTAAATTTTGGGTCTGATCCTGTTTCTTACGAGAATCTGATTTCTGATTTCATAACTTGATTTCTCGATTTCAAAATTGTGTTCGTGAAATCGAACTTTTGCAGGTATAGAAGAAGGAGAAATTACATAATGAGCACACTTAGTAGAAACGAGAGATTAAGAACAGTGTGGACACCTGAAATGGATCAGTATTTCATCGAGCTCATGGTGGAACAAGTGAGGAAAGGCAACAGATTCGAAGATCATTTGTTTAGTAAACGAGCTTGGAAGTTCATGTCTTGTTCCTTCACTGCCAAGTTCAAGTTTCCTTATGGTAAAGATGTTTTGAAAAACAGGCATAAGACATTGAGGAACTTGTTTAAATCTGTGAATAATCTTTTGGGAGAAGATGGTTTTAGTTGGGATGAAACTAGACAGATGGTGGTTGCCGATAACTGCGTTTGGGATGAGTATCTTAAGGTGCGTTTAGGTTTTGCGTTTTGCTTTCCTTGTGAGATTTTGTGTCTGTTTCCGTCTAAGGATTGATTTGTTTTTGCTTTTGGTTTCTTGAAGATTCATCCTGATTCGAGATCTTTTCGGATAAAGCCGATACCTTATTACAAAGATCTGTGCTTGATTTACTCAGATGGAATGTCTGAGCACAAAGGTACAATCTTTCATCTTCCTTGTACATTCTTGTCACCAAAGATCAAAGATTCTTCTTCAGCCTTTAGATTCTTAAGTAATCTTTGAATGAATAATATATGATTCAGCTGAGGAGAATATTACTGAGGGAGAAACCAAGACACTGATTCAGGAAGATGATGGTTACAACAGAGTATGTGAGTCGTCAACAGTCATGTCTAACTCAAAAGGAAGCAGTGTCACACGGTGCAGGACTACTTGGCATCCTCCAATGGACCGGTATTTCATTGATCTGATGCTAGACCAAGCGAGGAGAGGAAATCAGATTGAAGGTGTTTTTCGGAAACAAGCATGGACTGAGATGGTTAATCTCTTCAATGCGAAATTCGAGTCTAACTTTGATGTTGATGTGTTGAAGAACCGGTATAAGTCTCTGAGAAGGCAGTTCAACGCGATCAAGAGTATTCTTCGATCCGATGGGTTTGCTTGGGATAATGAGCGTCAAATGGTTACAGCTGATTATAATGTATGGCAAGACTATATAAAGGTAACTAATTGCTCTGATCTATGCTGTGTGTTTAGTAACAGTGTTTGGTCTCTGTGTTGAAGTGTGTTATTGTCTGAAACAATTACAGGCTCATAGAGATGCAAGGCAATTTATGACTCGGCCAATTCCATACTATAAAGATCTGTGTGTGCTCTGTGGCGATTCTGGAATCGAAGAAAACGACTGCTTTGTAGCTATGGATTGGTTTGACCCTGGAACTGAATTCCAAGAATTCAAGTCCAGTGGGACTACAGATTTGTCTATTTCAGCTGAGGAAGAAGATAGCAACTCTCTTTTGTTTGACCCCAAGAACAAAAGAGATCAACTTGCTAATACTGATACAAGCCCTGTAAACCCAAAGAAGCCTCGAGTTGATGAAACCCAAACCATGGCAATAGAGGAAACGGTTGAGGCTATTCAAGCGTTACCAGACATGGACGATGAACTTATATTAGATGCTTGTGATCTGCTTGAAGATGAACTCAAAGCGAAAACTTTCTTGGCTCTAGATGTGAAACTACGCAAGAAGTGGTTGTTAAGGAAACTCCGACCTCAAGTAACTTAAGGATTATGAGCAAAGTAGAAGTTTGAAGATAAACAGAAGCTCATTGGCTTATATTATAGACTACTCTAGTGTACTTTGCCAGAGTTTCATATACAAATACTTAACTAAGAGCAACAAAGATTCAAACAATGTATCACATCTTCTCTTATTCTTACTCAGAAGTTGGAAATGTGATCAAATATGGCTGATGATATTAAACCTTGTACAAACTCTCTCTTCTTTGCCTTCTCTAGTAGCTCCATATCTGACAAGGGAGACAGCGATTTCCAGTCTCTGAGCACACAAAAATACAAAATGTATCTTTAGACAAGGTTTGAGAAGGTGAGAAAAGGCACACAGAATCAAGAAAATGTCAAAGAGTTGCTTACCTTTTTGTTGAATCCCTTATAGAGCTCTTGAATTCCATGCTTGCTTCACTTGATGAATCAGGCAGTACAAGCTTGGACTGGTTTGGTGACGGCGGATTGTAGATAAATGATAATAATGGGTCTGGAACACTTTTAGATATACGATTAGTAGACAGTGGCTCATCGATTAGAGACTGTAAGTATTTCTTAGTCCTTGGAGAAAATGCTGAATATGACTCATCCTTGTAAAGTCCTTGCTTTTGTTCAAGGTAAGTTTTCGTCAAGGAACCAAAATGCCAGATAATCGATATAAACATACCAAGATTTAGAATTAGCACAGAAATACTCACAAGTTTCTACTAAATGGTTAGAAAAGCAAGAAGAATAAATTAAAAAGGATATCTTGAAGACATCTCTATGCTGCGTGGTAATGTGATCAACCATATGCATCTTCACCCGTCTGCTACAAACCGGACATATCTACATCACAACCAAAGCTGATTTCGTAAGAAATTGTTACATTCATCATCACCAAAAGACTATTTTCATTTCTAGGATCTAAAGATGATCGCGTTAAGCTCAAAAAGGTATTGGAGATCCCGAGGCACAACGTTTCTCACACCAAACACTTCACAAATACAAAATGGTTCCTCATAGTAACAGGCAGATAATCCAAATGAACTAAAATCCAAGAAGTCCCTACCAACTCTCATTACAGAATCACAATCCTACCTACTAAAGTAAGCATGCAAAGCAATAGAGTACAATGAACATCACACAATAAATCGTCTCATTGACAACTAACTGTTTCATGTAAAACAAAATGTCTAATTAAAAGAATTTAGAGATGCATATGATGACTTGAAATTACCCCATTGTTAGCGTCTAGTTGATGCTCCTCATCGATATGGTGACACAATTCAACTAAATCATAATCATCTGAACAAAACGGGCATGGATAATTTACTGCCATTTCATCATCTCCTTCAACATCTTCAAACTCAATACATGAACCTAAACAAAAAGTTCACCATCACAAAAACTTTATCAATTCACAACCATAAAGTGACAACATTTAAACCCACTAGACCTTATTGGCCAAAAAAATTGAAATTTGATAAAGAAATTAAAACCACCTGCATATAAAGTAAACCCTAAAACAAAGCTGAAAAAAAGAAGGGATTTTTACACTAACCAGACTGATACTTGGCAAGTTCTTCTAATCGATATTTCTTCGAAGAATCAAACCCACAAATGCCCAACAAATCTTCTTCCATTAGATTCTGAATCCAGAACAAAAAAAAAAACATGGATTGAAAATCTCAGATCAATTTACTTAACTAAATGAGCATATTCTTCCTCCGTGTATTTATTAGCATCTGTCAGGTTTACTTTGTTCAGTCTGAAAGTGCGAGGAAAGGAAACACACCTAAAAGTCGAGACCTTTAAATGTGGTCTCTTTTCAATTCTCTGACGACAGATTCCATGGACACGAATCTATTGAGGTAAAAGCCAAAATGACCAAACTACCCCTAATCGGTCACTAAAGCTTTTTAGTTTTTAAACCCGTACCACCGCCCCTTCGTTGACTTTTAGCCCGCCACGAATCCACGGGCATTTTCGTCTTCGCGTCACCGTCTTAAAACGTGTGCTCCACACACTTATATTGACTCTATCGCGCAAGTGGCAAAAAAGCCCAATAAATAATTGGGCCTCATAAGCCCATATATTAAAGGCCTAATAATTCTCCTTCGTCGTTAAGTCTGTAACACGCGGCTAAAGCTGAAACGTTATTTGCGATTCAGATTCGTTTGCTTTTTCCGACGACAAAAGCTCCGAATCCGATCTTGTTTATTTTTTCCGGGAAAATCTTACAGTAGATACTTTGTAGAGAATCAATTGATTTGGCATTGATGGCGACGAGGAATCGAACGACGGTGTATCGGAAACACAGGGATGCGTGCAAGAGCGCGCGTGCTCCTTTATCTTTATCGGCGTCTGATTCGTTCGGTGGTCCGGTGATCGAAATGGTTAGCGGTTCGTTTTCTCGGTCAAATCACTCCTCTTATGCTCCTTTGAATTCCAATGATCCTGGTCCATCAAGGTAATTGGGGAATTGGGGAATTCTAGGAAATATAATAGAGGAAAGACGGAATTGATTCGAAATTTTTGATTGAATTGAACTATGTAGACTAGTTTAGGGTTTAAAAGCTTTGTTTTCTTGCTTTTGATATATTTTTGCAGTAGCGATGCATTCACAATTGGTATGCCACCAGCTTGGGTTGACGATTCTGAGGAGATAACATATAATATACAAAAGGTGCGAGACAAAATGAGTGAACTAGCTAAGGCACATTCGAAGGCACTCATGCCTACATTTGGAGATAACAAAGGGATTTATCGTGAAGTCGAGATGCTCACTCATGAAATTACAGATTTGTTGAGGAAGTCAGAAAAGAGATTGCAGAAATTATCTACTAGAGGGCCTTCTGAAGAATCTAATCTCAGAAAAAATGTGCAGGTATATTGTTGGACTTTTTTCAATATCGAGCTTGTTAACAATAAAAAATGCATGGCCATTACCTTTTCTTTTCTCATATTGACTACCAAAGCTAGTTGACATTATCAGTCAGCAAAATGTATGAAGTAAATTTGTGTTCTTTTTTCTCTATATAATGTACTTTGGGTTATTCTATGTTTTGAGTTTGTAGCATGAGGTTAAAGTTCTGTCTACATGTATAGTGGGGCTCTCCAATGGACTTGACCTACTTTTTGGCATACTGTTTTTGACAGCGTTCTCTTGCAACAGATCTTCAGAACCTTTCCATGGAGCTCCGCAGAAAACAGTCTACTTATTTAAAACGTCTGCAGCAGCAGAAAGAGGTATGTTTCTCTTATTTTCAAGAAATAAATATAAAAAAGCTTTGATTCTTGAGACATGCATGTACCCTAGTATGATGTTCTTATTTGTATTTGGCTATTCTAATCATAGGGTCAGGATGAAGTAGATTTAGAGTTTAACGTGAATGGAAAGATGTCGAGACTGGATGAAGAGGATGAACTTGGTGGGATGGTAAGTACGATTCACTTGTGTTGTAAAACTATATATCATTCACTTCTTATGGTTATCATACTAGAACAATTCAGTTTTTTTTTTTTAATCAATTATCCTTGCGTTCCTTACTCTGCCAATACCATAATGAGAATCACTGGTCTTCAATAAATTGTAGGGTTTCGATGAACACCAGACAATCAAGTTGAAGGAAGGGCAACATGTCTCAGCGGAAAGGGAACGAGAGATACAACAGGTAATGGAAGTTGTTACTCCACCATATTTAGGAAGCTGCGTGCTTCACATTTTGATGGTGATTAACTTCAGACTTCTGTCTAGGTTCTGGGTTCCGTGAACGACCTTGCACAAATAATGAAAGACTTATCAGCCCTTGTGATTGACCAGGTGCCTAGCTTATTCATTAAAAGGCATATGAATTACATAACTGGGGATACAGAGTTTTTGTTGGTTTCTCAACAATTAGTTTTCTTATGTTCTTGTATCAAATAGGGCACGATTGTTGATCGTATAGACTACAATGTCCAAAATGTTTCTACGTCGGTTGAGGAAGGCTATAAACAACTACAAAAGGTTTGATTCTTTACCACAAACTCATAAGATTTTGTGAGTACTAGAGATTTTTCACCTTATAGAACTCACAGAGACATATTTCAATATTTGAATAGGCGGAGAGAACACAGAGAGAAGGAGCAATGGTGAAATGTGCTACGATACTCCTTGCACTCTGTTTCATAATGATTGTTCTTTTAATCCTTAAGAATATTTTGTTTTAGTCATATACCAACAATTTTAAAAGAAAAACAGCTTTTCTTTTGTTGTAACAAACCGTAACCTTGTTTTTTTCTTATTGAATTCCCATTTTTCCAATCGTTTTACTAAAACTGTAGAAGTATATTTTGTAAACCGTAAACGGTTAATTAGTTAAAACACCATAGTTGGGAAATAAATTGACACTATAACTCGTCACAAGTTTTGTGTGTGTGAAATGAATTAAGTGTGTGTGAAGCCAGTACTCTAGTCACAAGTTTTGTGTCTCGTGTTAAACAAAATTTGTGACACGTTTTGACTCGTGACACATTTTGTGTCTAGTTCACAGCGGCAGTTAAACGAGAGTACTCCTCTCAGTGCAATGCAAACACAAGTTCTTTGGGTAACTAGGGTTACCTCTTTTTGGTTTTTATTGATTTTCTTAAAACAAAAGACTGAAGAACAAAGACTCGATACAACCCTATTTATACTCAAAGACTCGATACCACCCTATTTATACTCAAAGACTCGATTCCTCCTTGAACTAGGAGTCACAACGGGAAACCTTGACAAAAAATAAGAGGAAAAAGATTCAAAAACGTGTGTGACACACAAAGCCCAAAACCAAACATCAAAATCGCAACAACTTGTCGAAAAAGAAAGCCAGAAACGTGTTTACACAAAAGCCCTAAAAGAATCCAAGGATGCACTGCATCATCAGTCTTTCTTTGTAAAACGCTTTATGCAAACATCAGAGCAAAGGTATGAATCTGAGGTTTCAGGTATCTTATAGATGATCGGGTACATGCAATGCGACTTACACTGCCTGCAAAACGGGCGAGATACATTTTTGTTGAGCACAACCTCATATGATCCTGTCTCAGCCTTTATTACGCTTCCTGGCATGACCCCTGAAAAGTCTCCGACCACACACTCTGTGTGCAAACTAGCCCACTGATCTTTACATGTGTAGAACCATTTCTCTGGATTCATTTTTTTCTCACAAATCTCACACCAATATATACCATTTGCCTTTTCTCCATAGCATAGTGAGAGAGGATAATCGTCAACTCTATGCTTTACCACTAGTGGTAAAGTGGCGCATTTGAAGCATAAGAAAAATCCACAACCATCTTCAATGCACATGAGCATTCTAGTTCCCCACATGTTACAACCATTGCAGACTTCTTTTATCTCTGCCTCTCTGGTGAAATGTAATATAAGGGATGATCGCGATGACTTGGATGGAGAAATGGCTCCAACACTGAACAGCATATGACATCTAATTTCATATCCCCAGATTGGTAACTGAAACCATTGGAGATTCTACCACAAACATTACACCAAAAGTGACCAACCTCGCGTGTAAATAAAGTAAGACTTTCATTGTGTAGCACATGTCGTTTCCTTTTAGGAAATTTAGCACAGTTTTGGTGAAGAATGAAGTCACATTCCATACAACCATAGAAGGATTCGAGACAAACGGAATGGGTGCATGCGCTGCACCGCTTGTTTACATCACATAGATCACCATTAACGTGGAGTCTTAGGTAATGCTCTTCGTGGCTGAAATGTTTTATTGTGTTGTCATCTAATTCCACATACGGCTCATTATCTTCGGTTTCTTCAGGTACTTCTTCGAGTTCTTTCCCATTCCACACATCATTTCTGGTAGCCCATTTGGAATGAACGACATAGTCAGAACACCTTTGACAAGAATAACCCCCCCAAGTCCAATCTACCTTTTGGCGACAAACTCCACACACAGAATTTACAAGACCAAGAAGATTAGTGCGAGAAACACGGTGATAATGCCGATTTATGTTTATAAGGCGTGGAAGGCCAACACATTCTTGGTGGATGATGAAATTACATTCAACACATATGTAAGGGCTTCGATCTCCCTTCAGCCCACAAACATTACATGTAAAAGAATCGAGTCTTGGGAGAAGAGTGAGTTTGTGATCATGAGTTTTCAAATCCGTAAAAGATATTGATGGCGGGTTTAAAGCACAACGCATATCCAAGGTGAAGTTACATGGAGGACAATGATAAAACAATGGGCTATCGATCTTTTTTTTCGCAAAGACGACATTTTCCATCAGAATAGCCTGGTAGTTGACCTGTGAGAATAAGCTTAAGAGGGTGCAAGGAGTGGCAAGAGTGATTCTTTACCTCTACCGGGTGGATTACCTCCGACAGGTGTTTTACCTCGGATGGATGCCAGACACAATCGATATGAAAGGTTAAACCACATTCAAGACATTTGTAAGGAAAGCCATAACCAATCTCCTCACATTTAGCATCACAAGAAAACTCGATCTTCTCCTTGAGAAGGGTGAGCTTGTGGCATGGTGTCTCGGAATTCTCAATAACCTCTGGTGGTGGGTACTTTGCACAGTATAGATCCACGTCGAACTTATCAAAATGATAGCATAGATCCTTAATGTCCCTTCCACATAAATTACAATAACAATATTTTTGTTTACTTAGAAGCTGAAGAGTGTGAGCGGGGTGAGATGGATGCTCGATATATTTGGGTGACTCGCCACATGTCTTGTGGACGAAAAAATGGCAGCCTTTGCAATAGTAGCCATCGCTGGTAGCTTCAAAGCGTCCACAACAATCACCTTTCCGCAGATCATTATTCCAAGGCATCATAAGATGATCGTGGATCAACGGCCTTAACACTCCCTCAGAATCCATGGTTGATTTGGAAGAAGAAAAAGGTGGATCTGAAAGTAAATCTCAAAGCTATGCTCTTTCCACGTTTCTTTCTCTCGCAAAAGTCTTCTCGTTGATCTCAAGAATGTTCTTGTAGAATTAGTAGACATATTTAAATAGAAAGATAATAATTATGGTTAATTGACAGTGTCAACTAGATGACTAACGTCATAGACGAAGATATCATTGGTGTTTTTGGAAATCATATGATTTTATTAAAACAAACCACTTGCGATAAAAGAATAGTCAGTTTTGATTCTTTAGCTGAATTGGTAGCCATCCAAAGGTCAAATGTACCATTTGTTCCCTCGCTCAAGTGATTTCTTCATTATGGGCTCTGATACCAATTTGTTTGGATTTAACTCGAATCACTTACAGTTCCCGTGTGACACGCTATATATATTTACGAGCTCAACACCAAAACTGGTACCTACGTGATTCTCTTATCAACTCAAGCTCAAATGTACAACAATGCTGAATCGGCAATCGCTCTCAATCACAGAATCACTTCTTCCCGGTTTATAGCTCACCGAAACAGAGTATTGAAAAAGTTGTAACTGAAAATTTTAACAGACTCCACGTGCTTCTCACGTGCTTATTTTACTACTTGTGTTTCGGAGACTCTAGCTCACTCCGAAGCTTTGCAATAAATATATTTTCCAGCTTTTTCTTCACCACCTCTACTTAGATTGATTCTAACCAACCAGTACGTAAGTACTAATTAAGTCGTATGCTTCATTGAGTGGATGAGATCATATGATTATATGAAATTTGTATCCGAAATGTCGTATCGGTTCTTGTTCGTTCCGTTTTGTTTAATCAAGCTAAAGCCATTCAGTTTTCCCAATCAATTATCATTGCCTTCATTCCTCTGCCAATACCGTAATGAGAATCACCAGTTAGTCTTCAACAAGTTTTAGGGTTTTGATGAACATCAGACAAATCAAGTTGAAGAAAGGGTAACATGCATACCTCAGCGGAAAGGGAACGAGAGATACAGGCATACAGCAGGTAACTTGGAAGCTATTAGTTACTCAACCATATTTTAGGAAGCTGCGTGCTTCACATTTCAATGGTGATTCACTTTAGATTTCTCTTTAGGTTTTGGGATCCGTGAATGACATTGCACATATAATGAAGGACTTATCAGCTCTTGTGATTGACCAGGTTTCGAGCTGACTCAGTAAAAGGGATATGAATCACATTGATGGATTGCAGAGTTTTTGTTGGTTTCTCAACCATTCGTTTTCTTATGTTTTTTTATTTTTTTTTGGTAGGAATTAGTTTTCTTATGTTTGTGTATCAATTACGGCATTATTGTTGATTCGATAGATTACAATATCCAAAATGTACAACTACAAAAACTCTTTACGTTTTTGTGAGTACTGCATATTTCATTATAGTGGTTGTAGTTAACAATTGTTTGTATGAATTGTTGGCGTTTTTACTTAAATAGTTGTTGAGTAAAAAGTGTAGATGATCATAAAAGTAATCCTAGTAAATTCCCAATTTTCTTGTTTTTGGTCTTATGATTTTTGAACAGACAAGACTGATATTATTTGTCATTTGTCAAGGTGAAATTATTTACAGTTTGATTCTGCGAGTCCAAAAGTCTAGATGATTCCTAAAGGTAGTCATCGCAATTTCTTGTTTTTAGTCTTCAAATTTTCAACAGACAAGACTGATAGTATTGTGTTCTTTCAATTTTATCGCAAGATTCTGAAGAAATCGAAAGGCTGAATACATTAGAAACATGTAAGTCGTTTCAAAGAAGTAATACAAGAAATCTAAAAGAAAAACCTGGTTTCAAATGCTTTTTATTTCAGTCTGCGCTTTAACAGTCTGGCTTCTTCTACAGCCGATACTGATACCCTCTTTTGAATGCATCTTAAAGAGCAATAGTATTCATCTGAGGTTCCAACCGTCTTCAAGATGATTGGAAAAATGCAACGCAACTGGCACCAGTAGCAATATGGACGAGATACACTATTATTGAGCACCACCTCAAAAGATCTGACCCAACTCTTAATTATGCTTTTGGGCATGATCTGTGAACAGTCTCCGAGCACACACTTTGTATGCAAACTAGCCCGGTGGTCTTTACACGTGTAGAACCATGTCTCTGGATTGGTTTCTCTTTCACAAATGTCACACCAGAATTTACCACTAGCCTTTTCGCCATAACATAGTGAGAGAGGATGATCGTCAACTCTATGCTTTACCACTTGTGGAAAAGTGGCGCATTCAAAGCATAAGAAAAATCTACAATCATCTTCAATGCACCTTAGCACATAATAACAACTCTTGTTGCAGCCATTGCAGAAAATCTCTCCATCTGGTAAAGTGTAATATAAGGGATGATCGGGATGACTTGGATGGACAAATGGCTCGGAAATTGAACCGCAACGAACATCAAATGACGTATACCCATGCTGGTACCTGAAACCATTGGACAATCTCTCACAAGCATTACAGTTAAAGTTTTTAGTCTCGTCAGTAACTAAAGTAAGACGCTCATTGTGTAGCACATGCCATCTCATTCTAGGAAATCCAGCACAGTTTTGGTGGAGAATGAAGTCACAATCCATACAGCCGTAGAAGGATTGGAGACAGATGGGATGGGTGCATGCCCTGCACCGCTTGTTGTCGTCACATAGAAAACCGTTAACGTGGAGTCTTAGGTAATGTTCTTTGTGGCTGAAATGTTGTATTGTGTTGTCGTCTATTACGATATATGGTTCTATATCTTCTGTTTCTTCAGGTACTCCTTCGAGTTCTTTCCCGTTCCACACATCAGATCTAGTGGCACATTGTGAATGAACAACATATCCAGGACACCGCTGACAAGAAAAACCTCCACAAGTCCAATCCACCTTCTGGCGACAAACTCCACATATAGAATTCATAACACCAAGAACAGAAGTTCGAGAAACGCGGTGATCATGCCGATTAATGTTTATGACGCGTGGAAGGTCAAGACAGTCTTGATGGATCATAAAGTCACACTGAAGACATACGTAAGGGCTTCGATCGCCACTCAACCCGCAAGCGTTACATGTAAAAGAACGGAGTCTTGGAAAAAGGGTGAGTTGGTGATCATGAGCTTTCAAATTCAGAAGAGATTGTGGTGGTGGATTTAAAACACAACGCAGATCCAAGGTGAAGTTGCACAAAGAACAATGGTAAAACAATCTATCATCAATTTTTCTTGCGCAAAGACGACATGTTCCATCAGAATAGTCCGGTGGTTGGCCTGTGTGGAGCTTAAGAGGGTGCCAGGGGTGGTAAGAGTGGTTTACCTCTAAAGGGTGATTTACCTCTGGCGGATGCCATACGCAATCCACATGGAAGGATAAATCACATTCGGGACATTTGTAAGAAAACCCATCACCAATCATGCCACATTTAGCATCACAATCAAACTCGATATGTTCTTTGAGAAGGGTGAGCTTGTGGTGATGCGTTTCGGAAATGTCAATAACCTCTGGTGGTGGGTACCTTGCACAGTATAGATCCAAATGGAATAGAGAATGATAACAAATATACCATGCATTCATACCTTCCGCCCTTCCACATAAATTGCAACTGTTTATACGATGACTTCGAAGCTCAAGACTATAATCGGGGTGAGATGGGTGTTTGATGAATTCGAAGGACTCGCCACATTTCTTGTGGACAAAAAAATCACAGCTTTTGCAATAGAAGCCGTCAGTGTCAGATTCCAAGCTTTGACAACAATCGCCTTTCCTCAGATCATTCCAAGGCATCATTAGATGCTTGTGAAAAACCGGTAGTAACACTCCCTTAGAATTCACAACACCAGGAACAGAAGTTCGAGAAACACGGTGTTCATGCCGATTAATGTTTATGACGCGTGGTAAGTCAAGACAGCCTTGATGAATCATGAAATCACATTGAACACAAATGTAAGGGCTTCGATCTCCATCCAGCCCACAAGCATTACATGTAAATGAAAAGAGTCTTGGGAGAAGGGTGAGTTGATGATCATGAGCATTCAAATTCAGAAGAGATTGTTGTGGTGGGTTTAAAACGCAACGCATATCCAAGGTGAAGTTGCAGGGAGAACAATGATAAAACAATCTTTCATCAATGTTTCTTGCGCAAAGACGACATTTTCCATCAGAATTGTCCGGTAGTTGACCTGTGAGGAGCTTAAGAGGGTGTAGGGAGTGATAAGAATGGATTACCTCCGACGGGTTTTTTAGCTCCGATGGGCGCCATACGCAATCCACATGGAAAGGTAATTGACATTCATAACATGCGTAAGGAAACTCAGCACCAGTAATCTTCCCGCATTTAGCATCACAGTTGAACTGGATCAGCTCCTTGTGAAGGTTGAGCTTGTGGTGATGCGTCTCGGGAATGTCAATAACCTCTGGTGGTGGGTTCTTGGCACAGTATAGATCCACATCGAAGTCACAGAGATCACAACGATAGAATAGATCCTTGATGATCCTTCCACATAAACTGCAGGTATTACAACCTTCACTTCGAAGCTGAAGAGTGTGATCGGGGTGAGATGGGTGTTTGATGAATTCGGAGGACTCACCACATTTCTTGTGGACGAAAAAATCGCAGCTTTTGCAATAATAGCCAACACTAATAGCTTCCAAGAGTCCACAGCAATCACCTTTCCTTAGATCATTCCAAGGCATCATAAGATGTTCGTGGACCAACGGCATTAACACTCCCTCACAATCCATTGTCGTATACTACGAAATTTGGAAGTAGTACGAAGAAGAAGAAGAAGAAGAAGAAGAAGAAAAAGTTGGATCTGAAATCTCCAAGCAATGCAATGCTCCTTTCACGTTTCTTTCTCTCTCACAAAAAAGTCTTCTCTCGTTAATCTCAACGATCGATGCTCTTACAAAATTGTTATATTTTAATATTATGGTTGGAGTTGTACGATACCAATATAAAGTATAAACTAATCATATTAGTATTTTATTAAAACGAACCGCTTGTAAAAATTAGTCAGTTTTGATTCTTTAGCTGTCTTCGTAGCAATTTGAAAGCCCAACTGTACCATCGGTTCCCTCGCCCTAAGTAATTTCATCTCCAAGTTGCTTTTAATATCAGAAAAAAAAAAAAAAAAAATCTTCGATAGTCTCATAAAAGGTTGTTAATATCATTCTTTTGGTGGGTCTATTCAATAACAATAAAATCACTAAATTTAGGATAGAAATTGATAATATAATTATTATGAACAATTTTTTTTTGCAAAATCCCTAGTTGTCCTAAATAGGCGAAGAAGAGACACTTGCAAATATAGTCTACTTTGAAATTTTAATTCGATGAAACAGAATTTGTTGATTATTAACAAATCATTTTCCGTGCGGATGAAAGTTAAAAGCTCAAACACTAAGCTTGGGGCAGAAATCTTTACTTACAAAAGGAGAAGTAAACTCGTCGAAACAAGCCATCCTGATACGCTCTGGAGTCGCAGGAGTGTCCAGTGGAAACCATTTGTTGCTAAGACCCATCTCGGCTCTAGCCGCTCTGATTGCATCTTTAATCGCAAAGAAGACCGATGATGCTAGAAAAAACGGAGGCTCACCAACTGCTTTTGATGAATGTATCCCCTTTGAATTTGGATTCCCCTAATGAAATTGAAAACCTCTTGGGTCAGTTTCTACACTAGCATGTAGAAAAGCTTTTTGATTATAGTGGCATGTACCTTGAGAAGAGAAACCTTGAAGTTGAATGGAATGTCGTGAATGGTAGGTATTTTGTAGTTTCCAGGTCCGCAAGTGAGTAGATTTCCCGGCTTAATCCATTTATGAGCTGCATCTCCCCATTTGAGTTCTTCTAAAGCTACCCAACCTAGCCCTTGTACGAATGCTCCTTCTATCTGCAAAATGGTGAGAATTTTCAGAACTCAGAAACAGCACAACCTAACTTTTCTTATGACTTTCAGTAGGTTTTTTTAAGAGAAGAAGTGCACGCACTTGTCCAATATCGATGGCTGGGTTAAGAGAATATCCGAGGTCCAATATTATATCAACCGTTCTTGTCTGAAAATCACCAGTCAATGTATCGATCTCAACTTCAGCAAATGCAGCTCCATATGTATAATACCTAAATGGGTTCCCTTTTCCAGATATCCAGTCAAAGCCAATATCGGGAACGATATGAAAACCGTGAGCAGAGAGGTCTATGCGTTGAAAATAGCACGCGCCTGCCAGCTACATAACCCTCAAAAGTAGTCAGATGAAGATAGCTTTTCATCAAAATGCAAACAAATTCCAGGAGTCAACGACAATTACCTCAGCAAAAGAGTTGGTATTGAGCTTAGATGCAACAGGCTCCATTCGTGCTTTGATCTGCTGACAAGCATCCAAAACTGCAGCACCGTACATGTCAGAGCTCACAGAAGCAGCAGTTGGTGACGCATTTGGAACCTATCAAAAAAGACAGTAAACAATAAGAGAGCAAGAACAATTTCGTGCTCTGCCTGGAACAAACTTTCATCTCAAAGTTCTAGCAGACATATAAATGTACCTTGTCGGTACTCGTCTCTGACACAAAAACCGAACTAAGGGGAATGTTAAAGGCAGATGCGGCAACTTGGGCAACCTTTGTATGCAATCCTTGACCCATTTCCACGCCTCCATGTGTCACCAAAACAGTACCGTCTGTGTAAACATGAACAAGAGCACCAGCCTAAATAACAAAATCAAAATGGATGAGTATACAAAAACTCAGATTCTATATTTATAAGGAACAGTAGTGCAATGGTTAGATTCCCGTGGAAGATTTTTCTTATTATTGTCAGTTTTTGGGTAGAAAACTGAACTAAAAAGAGATACCTTAAACAAAAATTACCTGGTTCATGAACTTTTTGGTAAATGATACGCCAAATTTTGTGGGAATCATAGCCACACCACGCTTTTTCCACCGATTATGACTATTAAACTCGTTGACTTCGCTACGAGCCTTTAGAAAGTTGCAGGATACTTTCAGCTCCTTCCACAGCTGATGCAGTGTGCAATGCTGAAGATACTGAGAGTAATGTGTCATAGAACCTTCCACTTGAAAGTTCATCTCCTAAAGTTTGGCAAATACCCAAGAAAACATCAAAAATAGGAAACCAAGAAAAGGATGAAAAATTCCTACAAACTTTCAAGAAATTGAAGATTAAGAAAAAACATTCAACTCACTTTGATTTCTTCAGGGCTTCGATCAAGTTCAGCTGCGATTCTCTGAATCCAGTTTTCAGTTATAAGCATACCTTGAGGCCCTCCAAACCCTCGGAAAGCAGTGTTGCTAGGAAAATTAGTAAAGCAAACGCTCCCTGTGATCCTCACATGTGGGATCTCATAAACATTATCCGAGTGAAACATGGCAATTTCGAGAATAGCAGAGGAAAGATCCAAAGAGTTTCCACCATTGTTGTAGATTTCAAGGTCATACGCCAATATTTTTCCTTCATTCGTAAATCCTACCTATAAACAATAGCAGAATAACAATTAGAAAAAATCTTTTGTCTAACGATCTATTCCCACTATTTCTTTTATTCCCAACTGTTTTCAGTTATTTCCCCATAGATGAAACACAATCTGCTGACTAATGGATTCCACAGCTTAAGAGTTCCAAGGAAAAACTGGAAACATTAGAGGAAGATACCTTGTACTTTCCAACAAAACTATGACGATGACCAGATATCATCATGTCCACATCTCTGTCCAGTATGAGTTTCACAGGTCGATTCAACAGGTAGGAAGGAACAGAAGCTGCAGCAGCTATGAAGCCCGATCTCGTTTCCTTACCACCAAAGCCACCACCAATTCGTTTGGTTTTGCATACCACTTTAGACATTGGCAGACCGAGCACACGAGAAACATAGTTCTGGTGCCTATGAGGATCCTACACATACAACAACCAATATTGCCTACGTGGAAACAACATTTTCATTTAAATCATTGACTCATAGTCTAGCTTATGCCCTTATGGTTTTCTGTTACAGAGAGCTTATGGCCATCTACTGGTCTTAGGAAGCAACTTTTAAAATGAATTTGACTCTGTAAAGCATATGACAGTATGCTATTCTAATCCTAATGTTAGACAACAATAAAATTTTATATGACGTAATTACTAAGTAGGTAGGATACTTACTTGAGTGGATGAGAGCATATGAACTTCGTTGCCTCCATCAATTGTCCAAACTAAGCTACCATGAGGTTCCATGTAAAAGTGTTCCTGACCACCCATTTGAACCTCGCCCTCTATTATCCTATCACACTGACCTGATCGAAAGCATAGCTCTACATCCCCTTTTGTTAACCTTTTTTCTGTGTTCGGGTGGAAACTTTTAGCATCAATAGCCTCCTTGATTGATAATATCGCTGGTAATTCTTCATACTCTACTTTAACTTTTCCTGCCGCGGTTTTTGCATTTTCATGTGTATCAGCAACAACCACACCAATGACCTGAAAGAGCCACATGCGATAAATGAAATAATAGGAAGACAAGAATTACATGTATCCAACAAAATAACTGGATCTATATGACAACTTTCGATTACTTTCTCGTGATAAAAAATTTTATCCTAAATAATACATGCATAATCTTTGCTCGTTTACTTTCTTGTGATAAAACATTATTACCTGTAACACTTCTTCTAAGACACAAAGATACAAAAGGGTCCTAATCAGTCTCCAAGGAAAAAGCTAATGAAAGAAAGTGAAAACTGAAGATTCAAATTTTCTTACTTGTCCTACACACGTGACCACGTCCGTGGCAAATAGTTCCTCATCAGCAACAACTGGTCCAATCATATTATCTGCGGGAACATCTTTAGCAAGAAATAGACCAGCAAAACCAGGCGAATATTTGGTATCAGAGTCGTCAATTGAAAGTATGCGGGCATGTGGCATTTGGCTTAGCACTAAGGCAGCATGCAAGGTATTAGGAGGCACTGGGGTATCATCAGTATATTCTGCCTCCCCTGTGACCTACATTAAAACAGAGCTATTGTATTATGTCGGAAACAACAACTCTACACTCAAGCATCTTTTTCTCGTCTACTCTTTAAGAAAAAATCAATCAACAAGACATATATAACCCCAGAGAAAGCATACTACTTGAATTGACGTGGCTAAGAAAACAACCAGACATACCTGTATTCTCGCCGAAAGATGGACTTCCGGCAAGCCAATAGATGTTCCCTGTTTTACGGTCTCATAGTCTTGTCTTCCAATTCTACAATGCTGAGAAAATGATTGCATAGCTGACATATGGGAGGATGGGAAGGTCTCTATAGTTGGCTTTATATCATGTATATGATGAGAAACCCATAAGAAAAATTTAAAGAAGAAGCTTAGGGTTAGAGATTTCCGGAACTCCACCATTCCACCAGGAGAATCTTCCTTAATTAATACATCGCTTTGTATGACCTTCAAAGCATCTTGCAGAAGACCTCTATTCCAATTCTTTCCGATTAGAAATTCCTCAGTCTTTCTGGCACACAGAGAAACCTCAGCCACACCACCAAATGCAATCGATACGTCAGAAACACACAATTCTTGACCTCTCTCTTCAAGAAATACACGCATTCCACCATTAACAATAGCTATATCATCATCCCTACGGTGGGCTTGTTTAAATTCTTTCACATACTCCAAAGGCCTTGTCCATGGTAGGAATACTGACAACAAGATTTCATTGCTTTCCATATCCACTTTACGATAACCACGGAAGAAATCTTTTGCAGGTATGGACCTAATATCTCCATTGCAGTTGATTATCCGAAATTCTGCTCTTGAAGCCATCCAAAGAGGATTTAAATCAGATATTGGACTAGCTGTACAGATGTTTCCACCAATGCAAGCAACATTCCTTATTTGTGTCCCAGCAAACCACTTCAATTGTTCAATAAAAGCCTTACAAACTGATGTTTCATGTGCAGGACGCTCCTTTACAACCTTCCTGAATAGTCTCAGGAGTTCAGAAAGTCTCAGTGCAGAACCAACCTCTACTCCATTGTCATTGACATTCACTGTGTTGAGTTCTGGGACTTGAGCCACAGATATTAGCACCCGATACTGTAACTTCTTCAGTCTCATTTCGATTCCCACCTCTGTATTACCTACCACTAGTTTTGCATCCGGATGTTTTGCTTTGAGATCAAGCAAGTACTGAAGTCTTACGGGTCTGTACCAGATAAGCCCTCCCTTTCCTCTCAGCTTTAAAGGAGCTAATTTCCTCATTAAAAGCTCAGGGGGGAATATAAGCTCCTTTTCTGTATACTTAGCTCCATCTATATCACTATATGAGATAGGCTGAAATCTAGTGTCGTTACAAGTGGCCGCTTCATTTGTTTTTGTTGATCCACATGAACAGGGCCTGCCAGTAGATGGGCAGATACTTAAACCATCTTGAAGGCTAAGTGAAGATAAACCACTATATAAAGCATCATTAGTTTTGGCAAAAACTCGAAAGGCATCAACAATCGGCCTGTAACCAGTACAACGACATAAATTTCCTGCAAGACATTCTTCAATCTCTTCTTCACAAGGTGAGTTTTTATTTGATCTCAGTAATGCATACATCGACATGATAAACCCAGGAGTACAAAACCCACACTGAGAACCATGAGAAGATGCCAATGACTCCTGAGAGAATTAGAAAACATCACGCTTTAACGACATCGATTCTCCAAAGAGAAGAAACTAGAACCCGAAAGAAGTGCTACAAAAGTAAAGTTACCTGAAGTGGGTGCAAGCCAAGTTTGCGATGAGCAACTCCCTCAATGGATATTACATGCATTCCTTCTACAGAATAGAGAGGTGCTAAACAAGCATTGACAGCATAATGCCTGCAATTAAAAATTTCCAGTTGGGGAGAAAAATCAACAAGTAGGTCTAAACTTAAAGCAAAGTAGAACCAACAACATATAGAGAAAAAGAAACGCACACGCATCTGTTTAATTTTCTGTCATAGGAAGAGACCATCACCGTGCAAGCCCCACAACCACCTTCGCCGCACCCCAGCTTTGTCCCGGTAAGTCCTAAATCTAAAGGAAACAACAAAAGCTTTAGCAAGTTATAGAAAGAAAAAACTCCATCTCCCTCTTGGAGCATAGCCTTACCAAGATGCATAGCAATCATCTTTAAACTAAGACACATAAAGAGCAAGTGTAACACACATGAATATAAAAATCCAAGTTCCACAACTCACCTAATTTGCACATACACATATTTGCATCTCTAAAAATATTTCCAACACTAAAATTGAACTTAAGAGTCAAGTGATCATGTAAGTAACAAACCACCTCTGAGATATTCAAGAAGAGTCATATGAGCCAAGCCACCAGGCAACACTCTACGAACACCATTAACGTACAGTATCGCCTCCATAAACTCATCTCCCGTTTGCTCCATCTCTCCTTCGTTCTTCAGCGAACCCATAACTCAATGATTTCACCTTTTTGAGAGAGGACTAAATTAAAGAAGAAGATGGAGAAATTTTGATGATGCTTATAGTCAAATTCAATGAGAGACTAAAAGAGCATAATTTCTTACTTTTGATTTATAAAAAGTATATCTTTCGTTTTCAATTTCACCATTATGTGATACTGTTCTTCGTCGTTGAAAATTCTTCCATCAATTCGTTCGAGCAGCGACGTGAAACGAACTATGCCTACTTTCTCATTCGTTCTCTTCCTCCGATAATCCCTTGAATGTACGGCTACATGAGGGGTCCGCATGGTTTCTCCGGTGGCTGTTTCCGAAGAGACGGTGACGATCGGTGGCGGTTTAGCCTACGTGGATTTTGGGTGGGGGAGATAGAGATTTGGTGTGACTCGACGCACTGAAAAGTAAAGTGTTAATATTAAATTATTAGTAGTAATTATTTTGCTTTTTTTGTTAAAATAAAGAATTTTCTTTATTAAGTCACGAGATTCATGTAATTTGCAATACTGGTTCTGTGAAATTTTGGGCTTCTTGTGTAATTATTTCATTTTTATTTTAAGAACTTTTGAAATTTTTTAATCATCTAAACTAGTGTGGATATTTAGGATGGTTAGCAAATTCGTACCTTATTCCCTAAAACAAATAATACATCCTAACTAAAACGAGTAATTTTATTAGTTTTATGATTGAATGATTCAATCAAATTATACATATATGATTGGATGATTCAATCTAATTGCACCGACTGGATATTATTTGGACTAATATTTTTCGGGTTTGAGGCAAATTGGGTCTGACTTCCAGTTAACATTAATCAAATATCTCTCTTTGATTTTTGGCAATCTAATAACAATGAATGTACTACTTATATATTTGTATGAAATTAAACAACAATATAGTAAAAGGAAATTCATAAAATTTGGAAGAAAAAAATGAATTACAAATGAAAAAATTATCGAAAATGAAACATCTTTTTGTTGTAATATATATATAGACTCAATTATCTACAAAAACAAGCTGCATTCATATAAGCAAATAAAATTATCATCATAAATCTATAACGATACGGCGTCGTTGTGTTGTTTGTATTCCAAATAAGAGACTTGTCTCTGCAACTTGATCTGCTCATAGAACTTAGCAATGAACTCCTCAGCTCTCACATCCACCCCTTTCTCTTCTTCCGAGTAAGATTCATCGTAACCGTACGAAGTAACCTCATCGGAATAATCTTGACCATCCATTTCAAAGTCATAGTCAAGATCTAATGGAGGAGCAATGCAGGGAAGGAGGAGGAACCTCATAGACGTAGTAGGACGATGCATCTCCTTCTTGACGTTAAATAACGGCGTTTCATCAAAGGAAAGCTGGCGTTCTCCGTAATAACGGTCACCGTTGCTATGATGACGAGCTAGGGCTTTGAGATGCTTGGAGAACAAGCTACGTAGTTCGAACAATGGCCATCTTTTGAAAACTCCACCTTTTCTTCCCCATAGAAGAGCCATCCTCACGAGACTCCATGCTTTATGTGTTATTGCGTTTCTTCTGATTTTCTTCTGAGACGAATCCGCCATTGATGATTTATGATCTGAGATGTTTTTTTTCCTAGATGATGAAGAGTGGTTTTTTTAGTTGTTGTTGTGTGTTGCTTATGGTTCTTGAAATGATTGTGTGTGTATGTGTGTTATATACACAAAAGTGTGTAGCTTTTGCTTGCTGTTTGCAATTTGCCCAACGCGGAGTAACAAATAAAAATACATTATCACATTTAACCCCAAAAAGATATATTATCCTACGTCTGACATTTAATTATTTAGTCCTTAAATTCTATTTCTTATGAATATTTTTAAAAGCTAGGTTTATAGTTGATTTGAGAAAAAATAAAAATTCCATAGACAAGACTACCCGAAGTTTTTTAAAAACTTCTATGCTTTTCTATAGATCATTAAACATCATTTAAATTTCTTTATTAGAACTTCGAAAAAGAAAAAGAATTATTTGTAAATAGGAGTATTATATTTTACGAAAAACTTTGCAAATAAGTTCATGTGGGTCACGGCTGGACGCGGACCATATCTTAGCTGTGTTAGCCGTTTTGTTTCTCAATTTACGCATTTTTCGTTTTAGTTCTTTTGTCTGTTATGCTTTTTAATTTAAAGTAAATTAAATACTTTCAACATCTTTAGTATTTTTTTGCTGTTTTCACCTAATTATTAGTTTTACGTTTTCGGTCTCGAGATGTGTACGTTTAGATATTGTTTTTTTTTTTTTAATATCAATCGATATTGAAATATAAATGTTACGTTACATAATGGTTTGCGCCGTTTGTATCACAAATTTGTAGATGCTACAACCAAAAAAAAAAACAAGAGTTAAGAAAAGTTGTTTTGTTTTTTCATGAAATGCAAGCATATTCTGAATAATTTGATAAACGAATAGTTCGAAGTCTATAATAATCTGGTAAGCTATACTGAACGTGCACAGGTTAGATTAGTTAGGGTTATTAATTAATGGGAATCTATTGGCGGTAACCATAGACGATTGGAAAATTAACTGACATATTTGGAGACTGTTTGCTAGGCTTCTGTAGCAAAATTTTGACTATTAAACCTCTACCCATCTATCTGCTAAAAGCGAGATATATTTTATGCACAATATACGTGTGTCAGAAACCAAGATATCATATCTCTTTCTTAGATTGCATTTTTGAAATTTCTTTGGGAATAGTATTTGTATCAATTATGAGGACTGGGAGAAATCGAAGGGTCGTGTTGTTTGGGTTCTATATCAACTGTTTTTTTTATTGTTTTTCCACATTTTCTCTACTTTCTTCCGTCTTCGAGTTCCATTTTTTTCTCTGGTGGTCTCATTGTTCTCTATCCTTGATTTTGCCTAATTTTATAATCAATTTTTGGTTCTATAATCTTTCAGTTGCTGCTTTCAATCGTCTAATTCGTTCAAGTAAGGCCTTAATTTATGAATGTTTCCATCCAATTTCATTATTTTCTGGGTTTAACAGTGTTTTCTTTCTGGGTTTCGTAGATGGAAGATCTCGGGCTTCCACATCGCCTAATCGCTGCTGGTGAAGAACCACTTAGAGAGAGGGCTAATGTTTACAACAAAATGAAAACACTAAGAGGCATCATTGATTCGTTGGATCAAACCAAAATCAAGTTAATCCGAGACTCTCCTCTCGGTGGTTTGTTGGATTTTCCAAACAAGCCTGCTTGGACCGCTAATTTCGGTCTTTTTCTGCTTGGTCTTCAGTTGGACATCGCGAAATCAAACGAAATAGGTTGGTTATCGTTTTCTGCTTGGTTATGTTTGCTATTTTATTGATTTACTGTTTTCCAATCAAAATAGGTTGAAGTGCCCCCCCTGTTGTCGACGAAAGAGTTGATCATTCAAACATACAGCTTTTTACTCTTGTAGACTTGCCTGTTAACTCTTCTGTTATCAACAACGATGTCATAAACCCAGAGGTAGTATATAACTGTTTGAAAATAATATTCGGAGATACAATTAATGTTCTCCGGTACATTCAGAGTTAGTAAATATTTTGAGTGTTACCTTTAACAGAGTTAAGGTTATTATTATTTTAAACTTTTTACCTTTTTTCAGGCAAGTCAACAAGAGGCTGACAGTGACTCGTCAACTCAGGTTTGTTGATCGTATCTTATTAATTTGATCTGCTTTCAATAATCCATATATCTGGTATGATTTTTTTTTTTCTGTGTAGTCGGGTGGAAGCAACCATTCCATCGCTTCCCCAGGAGAGGAGGCGGTTTTTTCTTTTTCTTGTTTACTCCTCTGTTATATATTTGCTTATCAGATATTTTCCATATTATCTACATAACTATATTGTTACATATCTTTCAGGATTCCGAATCTCAAGGCGTGGGTCAAATGGGAAGTGAACCTATGCAGGTAGAGTCCTCATTATTGACCATTGATAAAGTATAAGTTAACCTGCTATTCCAATAATTAATTGTTTGATAATTTAATCATTATCGAATAATAGGACTCCCAAATTCAAATTCAACCTGATGTTCATGTGTCAATCCCATCCCCCTGGTTACAGAGAAGGTGTCACTTCATTATCATATATGATTTTTTTGTCATTTTTCTGTGTCATAACAATTTCTTTTGTAGGCTGATGTTCCATCGCAAAGTAGTGTTGTTGGTAATCCTGGAGAAAGAAGGAGTAAAAGGCTTAGGACCAGATCTTCCAAGTTAGACGGAAGGTTTCAATTTGACAAGAAAACCAAGCTATTGGTTGGACACCCTTCTCCCATCGCAACTCTTCCTACTGTATCTATAGACCCTGAGGAGCGTTTTAACAACTCCATGAAGAAACTAAAAGCAATCAGGTTTGTTGGTTTTACTTTTATTTTTGCCTATGTATGTTATCTGTTAAGATCCTTACTCACTAATCCATTTCTTACCAATCTAACCATTTTATTTCCATGGTTTAGCTCTATTTCTCTGGGTGACGGTGCTCACGCAGTTGGTGGGATGGATGATTGTGTGGAGTTCCTGCCCGATTCTATTGACGCTGAAACCAAAAAACTTGTTTCTGCTCTCATTCTCGCTGGTGTTCCTTAGGCCAGCCCCTATTTACGCCTTTTTTTTATGCACCATGAACTTTTCGCCACCCTTTTTAATTTGACATCTTATTTGTTCTCTCAGTCCTTGTCGGTGTTATCTGTTTAAGAAAATACTTATCTGTTATATAATGATCTAAGCTTTTAACTGATTTAATAAGTTAGTATCGGTTATAGTTTTTGTTATCCATTGCCATGTATATGATCTATTTAGGCTTCTTTATAAACCTTGTGTGCGTATTAAACATTTGTTGTAGCCGTAACCTAAATTTTATGGATTAATTCTTCGATTTACCCATAATTTAAGTCTTACCCTCGTTTAAAATATCCCATCTCAGATAAAATATCCCTCGTTTAAGTGTTACCCTCGTTCTCTTTGACAGATTTTGAATATATGAGTTATAACTTTCCTAAAATTCAATTATTTTATCTCTCTAACTAATTAATTACCTACATGGTATTTTTCAACAACGGTCTTGCAAAAGTTATTTCTATCTCAAACCGAATATATGTATTGTCTAGATTTTATTTATTACATGTTAACTTTATAGTTACCCTGAATAAGGGGATTTTAGTGTATCCTTTTATAATCCCTCTGCTAAGCCCAATAAAATATAACTTACCGCGCTATCTTTTAAATTAACCTCCGCCTTATTTTGGCTTCTTTATAAATCTTGTCTGCGTATTAAACATTTGTTATAGTAGGAACCTTAATTTAATGGACTAGTTCTGTGATTTACCCTTAATGAAAGTGTTACCCTCGTTTAAACTATCCCATCTCAAATAAAATGTACTCTTTGACAAACTCCGAATATATGAGTTCTAACTTTCCTAAAATTCAATGATGTTGGGCCTGATTGGCAAGTGCTTTAGAGTTTTTACAAAGCAAAAAAATTTCTAAAGATTTGAAATACATCCAATCAAGCTTTAGAAGCTTTGACTTTCCTTTTTTTTCTCACAGCCAAAATATTTCCTTAATTCATTTTTTTGGCTGTAGAAAGCCTTTTTTCCTAAAGCAAATAATTTTCAACTTTCCAAAATTTTAAATTCTACAGCCAAAATACTACAGCAATAAAATCTACAGCCACAGCAAATAAACCTTTAGTCATATTTCTACATAAAAAAATGTAAAGCTACAGCTGTTACCAATCAGACCCGTTATCTCGCTAATTAATTAGTTACCTACATGTAATTTTTCAACAACGGTCCCTTGCAAAAGTTATTTCTATCTCAAACCGAATATATGTATTGTCTACATTTTATTTATTACATATTAACTTTAAAGTTACCCTGAATTAGGGAATTTTAGTTTATCCTTTTTAAATCCCTCCGTATAGGCAAATAAAATATAACTTACCGCGCTATCATTTAAATTAACCTCCGCCTTATTCTGTTATATTTTTTCATATAATTTAAGTTTCACACATTTAATCTTATTTTACCCTAATTTTACTAACCATTCTTAGCTAAGTGATTAGTTCCCTTCAGGTTGTATTCCTATTTCTTTGCCCACGTCCGCATTACGCGTTAATAGTCTAGTTAGTGCGCTATCCCACACAGAACGAGTTTCAGCGTTACTCCAGTACTTATCGGATATCTTCTCAGATGTCAATCCTCCCAGATCCAAGTGGCTCTTGAAAGAATTAACGTTCTTCTCCCTCCCTCCTCTTATCACCTTAACTCGTAGGTGCACCTCTTCCAGGTCCGCTCGTATCGCCATAAACAGGGTCATATCTTCATCATCTAGGATGTGTATTGGATTAGCTCTTTTCCACTCCAAACCCATCATCCACTGAGGCCACTGGTAATTGAGCTCTACATCGTCATTCTCGGCCAGTGCTAATCTCTCCTTTACCGTGCTAACGACCTTTTCGTACCCATCCATTTCTCTTAGCCGTACTGCCATCGTAAAACCTTCCAAAGCCGACACATGTTCGAAACATCCATCGTCGTTCTTCTTTCATTCCCCTCGAACCAGACGCACTATCAAAGCCATTCGGTACCTGAGAAAACCAATTTTTAACTTAATTAGTACCGAATATCATTTACATTATCACACTAATGTTAAGCAACTTGAAAATTAAAAATGTAACGACATATATATACCTTTGCGTATTAATTGCAGATCTTCAATACAACCCAGAAAATTGCTTCCGTTCTTCATTTCATTAACTGTGTCTCAGAGCATTTATGGTGTTGTTTTTGTGTTTCATTGCCAACGCCTCTACTCAGGTAATTAATAGGTGAACGCAATCCAGTTATACACCCACAACCCAAGAAATATCTGCGTAATCATGTTATTTCCTCAAGATCTTTCTTTTCCCCATAACGCCGACGCAATATTGACAAATCTTTCCGTCAGTTATGTCGGAAGCATTAAATGCGTAAATTTTTTAACATAAACAAAGATTTCTTTTACTAAACCTGATTTCTGTCAGACATAGGGTTATTTTCGTCATTTATCAATACAGTCCTAGAGAGAGAACTAAATTCCTTTTAATGGCTCCCAGATCTTTAATTATCTAATCTTCTATGGTTTTAGATTTTGTTAGCCCTTAATTTATTAGAAGAAAACAAATACTACATAAAAATGTTAAAATGGATTTTTCATTATATATGAATTTAATTAAAGAAGAATTGTAACTAAAAGTAACTAGCGATTTAATTAAAACTTGGGAGAGAAGGCTTGATTAGTTTAGTTGTGTGCCGTTGAATCATGTTGTTGCGGCTGTCTTTTTGCTGTAGTTTCTAGTTTCCACGAAACCGTCTTCCATTTCCAGATACTGTATAACGTGCGTTCTTTGTCGGATCTCAAAAATATATAGATTCATGTATATTTTTCATGCGAAATATATAATTTTCAAATTTTCAGATTTTATACTACAAAATATAATTACTTTAATATGAGGAAATGATAAATCATAAGTTGTTTGTTTCTTCTCATAATTAAGTTGGCCAAACACAAAGGTTATGGACTTATAGTTGTTGATCATTACAAGAAAACAAGTTTCTATTTATTTGACTGCGAGTAGCACATGTCTATATGGACTTACTATTTATTTTTTTTTATTTTTTTTACCGTCTAGATTTATTATTAATTGCAAATTATGAGAACTGTTACATAGACGATTCTACAACTGACAATTTCTGCCGACCCTTAGTAGATCCACGACAGACTACACTTCCTTCTTCATGATCTTGATGAATACCTTCAATGATCCACGACCTAACGACACTTCTTTTTCTGCGTAGAATCCTGGCGCACGGCTATAATTGTACATCGCTGGAGATCTCCTGCACACTTGCCTCCATTAATCTGCAAATTTGTTAATAAATCGCAATATCTAGGACTCGAACCCCAGACCTCTTAGTGTAGAAGCATTAATCAACTCTTGGTCAACCAACGGGCCAAGGGGGCTTCCACATTTATTTTTATTTTGCTATAATTTTTGGTTTAAAATTGATTAATGGGACGATTACAATAGTGAGAAGAAAAGGGTGTTTTAAACCAACATCGATTATCTACGTTGAACAATCCTGGAGAGTATATATTTTGGAACTTTTCCCTTTTCCTTCTTATGAATACGGCAATAACTTTGTTATATTTTTTGAATAACCAGTTTAAAAAGAAATTCACGTAAAAAGTACTTGAATTTTTCATTTTAAAAAATAAGACCTAACACAAAATATTGTCCTAAAATGATCTGAAAATCTAAAATTCATCTTCATTTAAGAAAGTTGCAGAAGCAGAGAAACAATGCACTCATCAATCAACAATCCATTCCATCTCTGATAATTTTCAGAAATATCGATCACGAAATCCGTAAACATCGATCACATCATCAAATTGGTCAAAAACTAATATATGACTAAATTCAGAACCGATTTATAATCTGCTTTTTCAATATATTATTTGTGAATATGTAGCGCTAATCCTCTATCTCAATCGTCTAAGTTGATGTTAATTTAGTTCTTAGACTAGTTATAATTTATAAGGCGACAAACAAAATATTTAGGTATTTACATCGATATATCATATATGTGCATGGTTGTATTCCTATACTGTATGAAACATTGAGGCGTAAAGAACAATATTCGGTGGAATTTTTACAATACAGGTTTTCGAAAACTCCGGAATAGCTAGTTACGTATATATGATCTTACCAACTTGAGGAAAAATTCACATATTTATTTATACATGGTGATTATATATTGGCCATATGGGTTATATATGTATGTTTAACAGGTTGGAACTTAATTAGTGCCATTATATGCATGGAACCATGTTTTGAGGATATATTCTTCTTGCAAGTAACTTAGGGTTTCCTCATTTATTTGATTCAAATATATTCATTTATGTATGTCGTCTCTACATATATTTCAAATTATTAACCGTTTTATATATAATTTCTTCCGAATCATCATGATACGTTAATTATATTAGGGCGAAAACACAACTAAATAAACTATAGTTGTGTTTAAGGTAAATAAACGAAGCAATAACTTTGGAGCCAAAAGAAGAAGAAGCCATAAACTAATTTAATTACCAAAATACTTATAGCTGTCTTTATTTTCTTTAACTTCCTCTTCCCGTAACTAACGCAGGAAGTTCGCGCTGTCTTTTCTAGTTATGACGCGAAAGCTCTCTTAAGAGACAGCTTTTACTTTCACCATTAAATCCAAAACTCTTTATATCTTATAGTTTTCACCCCCAAAACTTTTAAAATACTCAAATACACCCTTGTATATGTTTTCACAAGTATAAATAGCTTCGTTTTTATGCAAAAATCATTGGGATCTTCTTCCAAAATATCTCTTCCCTGCTCATTGCAGGGAAAAGCCTCCCCCATCTTGATACTCTTTTAACCACCATTAATTCTTATATATGGACATTCAAAATCAGTTTAATGGTGGCCAAGAAGAGATCAAGAATAAGATGAAGAAGAAACGATCACGTGGTTTTCACGTCATTGGTGTCGTTTTATACATGCTTCGCAGTCAGAGGAGAAGCAAGCCGCTTAATAACGGGTTTTGGCGGCGAGTTGTTGAGTCCATTAGGCAGTTGAAAAACGAAAATGTTACGGTACTTCCATCGTCTAATATAACGATACTGCCACCATCGTCTGCTCCGGTTACAGAGGAAGTTTTAGCGAGTAGTGACGATCAGGTATCGGAGATGGTTGAGGTTTTCACGGCGACGTCTAGTTCTTGCTCTTCGGGAATCTCGGGATATGGATCAGCAAAGTCGTTGCGCGATATGGATTGTCTTGATGAAGATGATGATGATTATGATGATGATGATGAATATTATGGTAATGATGATGGAGGTGATGAGATGATTGATGCGAAAGCTGAGGAGTTTATTGTGAGATTTTATGAACAAATGAGGATGCAAAATCAGGCTTATACAGAACGTAACAAAGCCAAATAGATGATGATGATGGTCTAAATCGCATATTGTAATTCTATTCATTGAAGCATGATATCATATTTCATGAAATACATATATGCATGGAGATTGTGCATATTAATCAATTTAAAACGTTCTTAGGTTGTTTACCAAAAAAAAAAAAAAAAAAACGTTCTTAGGGTTCGTCTTTGTTTTTAATTATTTCGATGATTCAAGTAATTAATGAAATATATACATATATTGAATTCAGTTAGGAGGGGTTATTGGTTCATAGATTTATATGGAATTAGAAATCCAAACAAAAATCATTTGTTATTCAATCATTGATTTTAAAATCCTAATTAAATTCATGTGTTATTGGTTCTATGATTTATAAATACTAGTTAAAATCTTATGTTATTCGTTTAGTCATTTGTTTTTGGATTTGAGAATCCAAATTATGTTTTAAATGGAATTGAATGGAATTGAAAGAGAAAAATAGAAGGATTCAAATCCATGGGTAAACACATGTTATTTCAAAATCCATATATCTTGATTTCATAATTAATAGAAATTTTCAAATTCTATATGGATTTACAAATTAACAAACTAATAACACCCCCTTAGTCTTGACTCTTGATTGTATTTATATTAGATATGATGAATTTGTACGCATATTATATCTATATATACATTTTTGGATGCCTTTTAGCAAATAAATCCTGGGGTTGAGAAGTATTTACAAAGAATGCCATTGGTTGGGTGGGTTTTTTGCTCCCAATTGACCCGAAATTGTGGCAATCGGATCTTTGCCAAAAACAAAAATTTTAAACGGCATTAATTATTCAGTTACCAAAATCTCGCATTAAACCTATATGGGGTCACTTTGTTACCGCATATCTTCCTCAAATCTTCCTCGAATCTTCACTTAAGCCTTTTGTTTCCCTTATGGATAGATCAATCTTTTATGGTAAGATTTTTCGTGATAAGGAGAGTAACAATGACGATTGATAATTGGCATATTCCTTACCTAAATTCTAATTCCTTTACATTATTCCATAATTGTGATATTTTCTTAAAGATTGTATACTTGCTCAACAAGATTTTCTCTACTCACTCACACATATCCCTATTATCTTCTTAAACCACTATAAATACCTCTCATTCACAGCAACTAAAATCACCAAATCCAAAAAAGAAGCTACTGTGTTTCAGATTCAACAGAGAAATCTGTTTCAATACCAATCTCTTATTCACAGACAATTTACGAGTTTGATGTTCAAATATAGATAAAAATCCTACATGAAGAACAAGATTAGCTTGGGAAGTCCTTACCTCTCCGAAAAAAGAAGGACGCTTGGTAGTGAAGAACCCAGTGGATTGGAATCAGACATGTTTCCTCAAGGTCTCTAAAGATGTTGCTGTTCAAACTGTAAACAAAAGACAAGAACTTTTGGGTATCAAGCTATCTCAGAGTCAAACCTGGACATTCAAGAAATTAATAAAGCTGTTGGAGACTGCATCGAGAATTTCCTCATGGAAGGGTGACGATCAAATTTCCATCTGGCACTGCACTATTTGAATAGCACCCAAAGGGCTAAGCTTGCTAACAATCTCACCAATGCATTTGATATCTACAAACACCAAAATTCAACACTTCAATTCCAACCCAATTTCAAGATTCATACTTTTTAACTGTATCAAACAATGTCTAAAGCTTTAGCCTTTATCCAATTAAGAGTAATGGGTCCTCACAGTGCACAAGCGAAGAAGACGATGAATAACGTAGTGTAATTCCTAGCGAATCGTTTGATTTACTCATGAACTCTAATTCTCGCTTGCTGAGAAGACGTTGGAAACGAATAAGAGTCACAATTGCCAAAGAAACCGGTGGTCCACGGTGGCGTATCTCCGGAAAAATCATCGGAGAGCTTGGAGAAAGGGTTAATTGTAAGAAGAGAAGAGACAGTGACGCGTCGAGACAAAAGAGAAGCGAAGAAACCACCGGTAATGGATGTTCATCGTCAGACGCCGCAGAAGTTGCGGCAACTGAGGATGAAACGGAGGCGGAGGAGGAAGCGGCGGCGGCTGCAGCAGAGGTGCGGTGATCGAGGAGCTCGAGGTAGCTGGAATCTCGGAGCCAAGATTCGAAAGCAGGATCGAGGACGCTTAGAGAGAGAGGATTAGGAGAGAAAGCCATTGTTGTTGTTGTCGCCGCGATTATCCGTGCCAAACCAGTGACGATCTCCATCGTTTAGTCTCCTCGGCCAAATGGGCTTTATTACTAATATGGGCTTCTTACATTGGTTGGATTTTATTCGTATGGGATCTCTAAATATTTGGGCCCATAAAATTTTTTGCAACGCTTAGCAAAGTTTCGAGATCTCTAAATTATGAGATGTTGTGATCTGTGGAACCCGTTATAAAATACAATAAATATGCAATTTTTGGTGTTGGATATTCATAGTAAATTAAGATATGTTTTTAGTAATATAAATAATTTAAAATCTAATAGATATAAAATAAAACTTAACTAACAATATACACATATTTAGACATAATAACGAATAACATTCTTATACATTCAACAAACTATAATACTTTTTATTAAAAATATTCCAAATATATTTAACTGCGACAATCTTAATAAATTTCAAAGCAACTCAATCTATATCCTATAATATTTACAAAAGCATAAATATTAAAATAATATATTTCATAAAAAAATAGCCCCGCGGTACACCGCGGGTGAATTTCTAGTTTATTATGTATTTATGAAATTGAATTTTTGTTTACTATTATATCTTCTTCAAGTCATGATACGAGAACCAAATTGTAGCTAGCTTTTTGTGTGTGTGTTTTTTAGAATAAACTGAATGTAACAAGTCCTGGTACGGTTGTACCAGATGTTTCATATTAATGAACTAAAAAAAAGGTTCATTAATATGACTCTAAGCTACAAGCCTTTGTTTGTTGGTCATAAAATTCAAGCAATTCTTCTTTTCTTTTCATTTTTTGATAATTGATTTTCTATTTTTGTGACCCAAAAGAATAAACAAATGATTTTCTACTGAAAGCATGAGAATGTAAATGTTACAAAGCCATACAGGCTCAATTGGCTAAATAGCCTAACACACAACAAAAAGAAGAACCTATTTCGAATCAAAAGCCCAATAATGAGTTTAAGTAGAAGTTAGTAAGATTGCCCAAATTGAAAGAAAATCAATTTGGTTGTTCTCATTTGAAAGAAATTCAAGCAATTGTTATACGGCTGTTCTCATCTTTCCAAGATGCATGAAATAGTAAAGCATCTAATTAGTAACTACTAAAATGTGGAAACGCCAAAGTTTGTACCATAATACTTAATGCTCACATTGATCTTTTTACCCCTTTAATTTCAGGATTGTCTTGTAATTACGTTGGGCTGTATTTGAACCAAGTTTGGGCTATGTAATAATTTGTTTGGGCTTTAAAAAGCCTCTTCAAATTAGAGTATTGCTGCAGAAAAAGAAAAGAATATATGCGTGGAGAAAATAAAGGGAAATATATAGATTAATCCATAATTAGTCGGTGTATACCTAAAAAAAGCAAAGAGACGTTAAGATTCAAATTCAAAAAACAAAAAAAAATGCATGGCAGTTTCGTAATTAATAACCAGAATTAGGGGCAATTTTTTATTAACAACGAGTTTCTAAGCACACGCTCTTGTATATATACACTCGCATCACTCCAAAACCCTTAATACTCTCTCATTAATCGAACTTCGTGTGTTAAAAATCCTCCGATCGTTGATTCTCTTCCGATTTCGATTTGATTTAGCGGCGATGTCTCTCAGACCTAGCGCGAAGACGGAGGTACGACGGAATCGGTACAAAGTTGCGGTCGATGCGGAGGAAGGACGGCGGAGGCGAGAGGATAACATGGTTGAGATCAGGAAGAACAAGAGAGAGGAAAATCTGCAGAAGAAGCGACGCGAGGGACTCACGTCTTCTATGGCTTTTGGCTCAGCCGCGGGACAAACGGAACAGGATCTTTCTTCAGCGAAGCAAGTATGTGATTCTTTCTGTGTTTACGATTTTACCTTTACTTTTTTTTTTTTTTTTTTTTTTTTCTGATTTCACGTTCCGATTTGATCAATTAGATCGTATCTGTTTCATAGGAATATGTAATTGGAGATCGATTTGTATTAGATTGGAAGTTTTTGCGGTGTTTCTGTGTTTTTGGTGATCGTATCTACTTCATATGTATATATCTAATTGGAGGTCGATTTGTATTTGATTGCAAGTTTGTGATGTTTCTGTGTTGTTTGGTGAGAGTATTTGTTACTAATGTCTCTTTAATTGACTGGCAATTTGCTATATGGAATCTAGTTTGAGCTGTGTTGAATTTGACATGTAGAGAGAATTAGGGTTGATATCTCAACGGAGATCATTAAATTTGCTTTAGCTAGATGAGATTTTTGATTATTATAGTGTCTCTTTGTGTTACAGTTGAAAGCAAATCTACCATCTATGGTTGCTGGAATCTGGTCAGAGGATAGCAATTCACAATTGGAGGCAACAAATCTCTTGCGGAAACTGCTGTCTATTGGTTTGTGATTTATGTTATTGATCGCTACTAGTATATAACAATCAGCGTTTTGGTTAGAGTCTTTAGCAGTTGTTTTTTTTTATAGAGCAAAATCCTCCTATCAATGAAGTTGTACAATCTGGTGTTGTTCCTCGTGTTGTGAAGTTTCTTTCCAGGGATGACTTTCCCAAACTTCAGGTGAGTCAGTTCCTGCAAACGGCTTTTATGGATAAATTGATAGTTACTAGTTTTGATGTATTTGTTAACTTGCTTTTGCGGTTTATTTCTTCCTTGTGTTTAGTTTGAGGCAGCTTGGGCTCTCACCAACATTGCTTCAGGGACATCAGAGAACACAAATGTCATCATTGAAAGTGGTGCTGTCCCGATATTCATCCAACTTCTCAGCTCTGCTAGTGAAGATGTCCGCGAACAGGTATATGTTTAATTCCTCACTTCCATTTGTTTAGGATCAAGTGGAAATTCAATGACTGTTACCATTCTGAGTTCTCTTCTTTCCCTGAGTATAGGCTGTTTGGGCACTGGGAAATGTGGCTGGAGACTCACCAAAATGCCGTGATCTAGTCCTAAGCTATGGTGCCATGATGCCTCTTCTGACTCAATTCAATGACAATACAAAGCTTTCCATGCTGAGGAATGCTACATGGACATTATCAAACTTCTGCAGAGGGAAGCCACCGCCTTCATTTGAACAGGTTTCCTTAAATATTATACACACTTTATGAATCTTCATCATACGCTAACATAGCTTCTGATATGTTGTGTCTTTACATTTTTCGAGCAGACACAACCAGCTTTACCAGTTCTTGAGCGCCTTGTGCAATCAATGGATGAAGAAGTTCTCACAGATGCATGCTGGGCTCTGTCATACCTCTCGGATAACTCAAACGATAAAATACAAGCAGTCATCGATGCAGGAGTTGTCCCTCGCCTCATCCAGCTCTTAGCGTAAGCATCTGATAGTGATCATCTTAATTTTTATGGCCAGGCATGTTATCTGATTTATGTGCTTCCGTTTTCTCTGCTTAGTCATTCGTCACCATCAGTGCTGATTCCCGCTCTTCGTACAATTGGAAATATTGTAACCGGCGATGATCTACAGACTCAGGTGCTTATAATACATTCACAATTCTATTTCGAGTTTTCAGAAGCAAATGTCTCTAACTTATTCTCCTAACACAGATGGTTCTCGACCATCAAGCGCTTCCTTTTCTTTTGAACCTTCTAAAAAACACTTACAAGAAGAGTATCAAGAAGGAAGCTTGCTGGACTATCTCAAACATTACAGCTGGGAATGCAAATCAGATACAAGTGAGTTTTGGTTTTTATATGGCATTTAACAACAAAAGTAGAAAATTGAACTTTCCTGTGTCTGATTTTATTTGAACCCGGATGTGCAGGCAGTGATTGAAGCAGGTATAATCCAATCTCTTGTTTGGGTGCTTCAAAGTGCAGAGTTCGAAGTAAAAAAAGAAGCTGCTTGGGGAATCTCAAATGCTACTTCTGGTGGCACTCATGATCAAATCAAGTAAAAACATAAAAACCAAAACCAAATGTTTCCTTAACAAAGAAAGGTCATTTCTATAACATGTCAATTTTTGTTTGTTTCTTATCAGGTTTCTAGTGAGCCAAGGCTGTATCAAACCTATATGTGATCTCCTTACTTGCCCAGATCTGAAAGTCATAACGGTTTGCTTAGAAGCATTAGAGAACATTCTCGTGGTTGGAGAGGCAGAGAAGAACTTAGGTCATACAGGAGACGACAACCTCTACGCTCAAATGATTGACGAAGCAGATGGGTTAGAGAAGATTGAGAATCTTCAGAGTCATGACAACATTGATATATATGAAAAAGCCGTGAAGATCCTTGAAACCTTTTGGACTGAAGACAATGAAGAAGAAGGCAACGATGAGAATCATGCTCCACAATCTGGTTTCCAGTTCGGAAGCACTAATGTTCCTCCTGGTCAATTCAACTTTATATGAAAGGTAAAAAAGTTGAAAAATTGAGTCATATAGTTGCTTGGACTTTTTAAGTAAGCCACATATCGAACGTGGTAACGTCACAACGAAGAAATATCTCTCTTCTCTATCTCTCCATGCCCACTCCTCAACTCGTGGATATGAAGAAACAAAGATTGTTGATTTTGTCTCAATGTTACTCCTAACTAAATCATTTGGGGAGGAGAAACAATTATTCTGTGTTGGCCATTATCTTGCTTTTCAATAAATTTCAGATTTTTCTCTTTTAATGACTCCCTTTTTTCATATATTAGTACCATTACAAAATCGTAGTTATGCCTTAACTAAACCAGAAACATTTTATTCAATAGGTAAATTATTTTGACCCGCAATTTTAGAAAACAGAGCTCAGATTCAAACAAGAGCAATCTCGACCAAAACAAAAAAAAAACAGCAATGGTCAAACTTCAAGAGCAATATACGCTTGTAGATTTGTTTTTATTTGGTACTTTGGTCTATAATTAAATAGGAGAGATTAGTGGTGATTATCATGGTCATAGTTTCTTTATGCGAGAAACAAGGGTTTAGGCTTTGTGACTATTTCGTATATTTAAAACACCCTCATTGTTTTATCCAACAGACAACAACAACAACATAGCCAGATATAATGCGGTATTCACCAGCTTTTGCTGCAGCACGTTCTACTCTCGTTCGTCGTCTTCCTGCGAAGAGACTAGCTTCTTCTGGGCGAACCGCTGATCCAGAGATTCATGCTCGTAACGATGGAGACGAGCCTGGTCTTTTTCCATCAGACCCCGAAGTATATATCATCAATATATTTTACCTTTTTTCTTTTAAGATTTAGCACCGGATATTTGTGGTTTCGCACAAGTATATATGATCGATTTTTAACTTGGTTGTGTTTGTCATTCATTAAAATTTATGTAAAGTCTAGCTGTCACAACTAAATTGTTTGTGATATGTTGTTATTGTTGTTGTAGGGTTTGGATGATGTAGCGAATCCGAAGACTCCAGCCGATGAGGATGTACCGGATATTCGACCACCCGGTTTTGTAAAGGAACCGCTTTCGCCGCCAAAAAATCCACGAGATACTTCACACAAGCTTGAATCTACTCCTGTTGGTCTACCTGCAGATCTCAATTTCCAACAGAAACGAAATTAATTGCAGCAAACGCCTTAGCCGCTATGGCCTCCTAGATAATTCATAGTAAACTGTACGCAGAAATGCTTACTTTTGATTAGCTTTAATTTGAGAATAAAATTTTTAAAAACTCTTTCTGCTTTAATTTCTTGGGATTAAAGAAACTACTTTACTCTATATTTGAAATGTGTTGTGTCTTCGTACTTTTGAGTTTATGTGATCTATGAGATTATGCACAAAAGATTTGATTCGAGCATATATAAATGACGAATTGACGACAAGACACAGTATTCACATGGTCCAAAAGGGTTTTAATTTTGTTCTTCACCAAGATTCCTTGTGTTGTTATTATCCTCACAAGCTGTAAATTTAAAGAGAATCACATTCCAGAGTTGCTATTGATGAAGTCTTAAAAAACATTTTAATAAAATCACAAGACTTTTGTGCACTCTCTTTGTCAACCTTTGGAAAACTACCATTAGAATTAACTTAGAAAGAAAGATGTGTATCTTGAGAATCGAATAAATATACCGAAGATCTAGTTGTAGATTAAATTTGGTAGTATTCAAGACATTCACACGCTTTTTTTTACGTTTATGATATAATTTTTGTCATTAGTAGTATATAGTTCTATGTGTTGCTCATTGGTAACATTTCATCGCTGTGACATAGATTTTACTCTCAATTATGTAACAAGCTAACATTGCACCAAAGAGGTGGCGATCTAGTGGTAAAAAAGGGTTGACTCTTTTTTGTGTTCCGGATCAAACCCTTTCCTACGGAAGGGTATTCTCTAAATCATAATAGCTAAAAGACTGACTCCAAATATTGTAGGAAATTATGGGCTAAAGACCCGAAACTCTCATCGATTTAACATTTTAGTAGAGAATGAATCTATGTTGAGATTAACCAAAAAAAAAAAAAAAAAGCTATATTGAGCCAAGAAAAGAAGAAGTTAAGTCTCAATCTCTTGAAACTGTTTTTGTTCCCACCAAGTAAAAGAATCAACAGAAATGAGTCGGGTACGGGTCCGGTTTGGGACCTACGAGGCAGAGACTGAGTGAGAATCCGAGTCACGACCGGAGTGATGGTCGTGGAAGCCAGCCTGGTCTGAATTGTAAATGGGCCTATCAGGTTCTGAAGCGTAGACCGTACGGACTGTTACCATGTGCTTTTACACCAACATCAACACATTTCACAATATATTAAAAATATCATTACAATAATCTCAAAATTAAACCGTAGGTTTTTTTTAAGGACCTATTAACTTTAAAAGTTTTCATTTAATAACAATAGATAATCGCTTTTCTATTATTTCATTTGAAATGGACACGTGGTGGATACTGGTGGTGGTTTTGATGAAAATTTTAAATAGCAAAAAATAAGTAAATAAATAAAAAAAGCTTCTCTACTTAATGAATGGTACGTTAACGTACGTGTTAGATTTTTTCATAGCGAAGGAAAATTTAAGATTCGCATTGGTCGTGTCGCTTGTGTCAGGCTAAACGACGACGTATTAACGTAGATAACAAAGGGGTCCACAGTTAAAATATGAGATATTTAAGTGATAGTTTTGTCAAATAAGTTATTGAATATAAATTCCAATTTGATAAAATTATGTAATAGATCAGACAATTTGGAATGTATCTGTTTTTTAGTTTGTTTAGATTTTGGAATTTCCATACTTTTAATCTATTTTTGTTGGGTAAAATTACTTTCTAATAATTCCATTTATAGTAAATATATTAAATAATTTAATTTTGCATTTAACACAATCCACTAAATACAGAGAATGCATTCATATAAAAATCACCTGTGAAAATACTTAATACTCAAATCTCAACTAAATTAATAACATTAAATATTTTATCATGAAATATTAAAAATTTACTCGACAGATCTTGGTTTCTACTGCACAATTTTTTTGGTCTTGTCTTGATATTAACATGCAAAACCAAAACATAAACATGTGTTATCTGATTATCTCCAAACCAAAAACCTAACTACTATTTTGTAAATTGTAACAGAGATTCCATTTACATCTTTAAATGTTTTTTTTCCCTTCTAAGCCAATTAATTTTCTTATAATATTTTATTTATAGTTTGATTGGCAAGTGCTTTAGAGTTTTTACAAAGCAAAAAAAATTCTAAAGATTTGAAATACATCCAATCAAACTTTAGAAGCTTTGACTTTCCTTTTTTTTCTCACAGCCAAAATATTTCTTTAATTCATTTTTTTTTGCTGTAGAAAGCTTTTTTTCCTAAAGCATATAGGGCCTGATTGGTTGCGGCTGTAGCTTTAGGGAAATTGTCTGTAGATTTTTCTGCGGTAACTATAGAATTTAGGTTGTAGAATTTAGACTGTAGAATTAAATGAAAGCATGATTGGTAAAAATAGCTGTGACTTTTTTAAAGTGAAAACATGAAATAAATATTAGGAATATATTTTGATTTTTCTTTTTAATTTTTACTACTAAACAAAAAAAACACCATCTAAAACTTAAATAAAATTAGCAACAAAACAAAAACAATCACTAAATACGTAGAAAACAATTAGCAACAAAACAAAAAAAATCACTAATTAATAATTGGTTATGTAAATCACACAAGAAGGGATGGGCGAAAATTATGAAAGATACGAATTTTTCTTCTTCTCTCTGCTGTGGCTGCCTTTGCTCAAGGTTTGATTATTATATATATAATTCTTAAGCTAGGGTTTCTTATCAAATTTGTTTTTAATATAAAACTTAAATAAAAATATACTCCAAAGCCTAAAACTTACGGCTGTAGCTTTTGACGTTTCTACAGCCCAAAAAAAGGAAAAAGGTTTAATGATAATATGATCCCCTCCTTTTACTTTTTGTTTCATTTTAAGGAAGGAATTTGCCAAAAAAAGGAAAAAGGTAAAATGTTGCTGTAGACCTGAAAATTAAATGTAAAGTATGATTGATGTGGATTTATAGCTGTAGACCAAAATATGGCTGTGGAAAGACTCCAAAGACACAACTAATCAGGTTCATAATTTTTAACTTTCCAAAATTTTAAATTCTACAGCCAAAATACTACAGCAATAAAATCTACAACCATAACAAATAAACTTACAATCATATTTCTACATCTAAAAATGTAAAGCTAAAGCTGTTACTAATAAAGCCGGAAGAAAACAATTAGTATTATTTTCCATAGAAGTAAATCGTGGCGTTTCCAAAATATTCAGATTGTATTGTAATAATAGCAACAAATTTGAATAGAAGACAGACAATGACAGCTGGTCTTCATTTCTCTGTAATCGTTACACTTACACAAAATTTAATTTGTTTTCTTAGTATTAAATATTTATTAAAAATATTCCAACTTGACCATAAATAAATGATTAATAAACATAACGAGTAATTACAAATACTGATGCAAAATAAAATTTAAATAACATTTGCATTCACTCCTCACTCTCGTTTTATTTTTAAAGAATTGTATTTTTTATTTTTAAAAGAGATTTAATCAAACCATTGATTCTCTCTCTGTCTCTCTTTCATTCTCTGCTTCTTCTTCTCCGAGCTCCGAGCAGAGAAGAAGAGAAGGTAAGTATTAGAGTGCACTTGTGTGGCACTCTGATTTCTTATCCTGCGCCACTCCGGTTTCTTATCGTGCGCTTCTCCGACTAGTTTCTATTAGGGATAATATTATCCCACATTAGTTTCGGTGTCTAATGGACTCTTCTTCTTCTTCTCCATCTCTCCAAGAAAAAATCTCTTCTGGTTATTTCTAGGGTTTCGTTGATTTCGATTTTGAGGATTTAATTATTTATCGAAATGCTTTGGATAACGAGATTTTCTGGATTTTTCTCCGCCGCGATGGCAGTGATCGTGTTATCTCCGTCGCTTCAGTCATTTCCTCCGGCGGCGGCAATCCGTTCGTCTCCATCACCGATCTTCAGAAAAGCACCAGTGGTGTTCAACAACGGCGACGAATGCCTCTCCTCCGGCGGCGTTTGCAATCCGTCGTTGGTCCACGTGGCGATCACGTTAGACGTAGAGTACCTGCGTGGCTCAATCGCAGCCGTGAATTCAATCCTTCAGCACTCGATTTGTCCAGAGAGCGTCTTCTTCCACTTCATCGTCGTCTCCGAGGAAACAAACCTGTTGGAGTCGCTGGTGAGATCGATTTTCCCGGGATTGAAATTCAATATTTACGATTTTGCCCCTGAGACAGTTCGTGGTTTGATTTCTTCTTCCGTGAGACAAGCTCTTGAGCAACCTTTGAATTACGCTAGAAATTACTTAGCGGATCTGCTCGAGCCTTGTGTTAGCCGTGTCATATACTTGGATTCGGATCTTGTCGTCGTCGATGACATCGCTAAGCTTTGGAAAACTAGTCTAGGCTCGAGGATTATCGGAGCTCCGGAGTATTGTCACGCGAATTTCACGAAATACTTCACCGGAGGATTCTGGTCGGAGGAGAGATTCTCCGGGGCGTTTAGAGGGAGGAAGCCTTGTTACTTCAACACAGGTGTGATGGTGATAGATCTTAAGAAATGGAGAAGAGGTGGTTACACGAAACGTATCGAGAAATGGATGGAGATTCAGAGAACAGAGAGGATTTACGACCTCGGCTCGCTTCCACCGTTTCTTCTTGTTTTCGCCGGTCACGTGGCTCCCATCTCTCACCGTTGGAACCAGCATGGACTTGGTGGTGACAATGTTAGAGGCAGCTGTCGTGATTTGCATCCTGGTCCAGTGAGTTTGCTGCATTGGTCTGGTAGTGGCAAGCCATGGATAAGACTCGATTCGAAACGGCCTTGTCCGTTAGACGCATTATGGACGCCTTACGACTTGTATCGACATTCGCATTGACGTTGCCGGTAAAATGTTCTCTCAAACTTTACTTTAATTTGATTTCATTGCTGCTTATGTTTTAGTTTGCTCATCAGTAGTTGAACCACTAGATTCTTTGGAACCGGCTCTTGTTTTTTTCTTTATCCTCATAATCTATGGAGATAAAAAAAAGACTCTCACTTTGAGATTATCTGGCTGTGGCTTTTCTTTTTGGTTCACCAGTCTTGATTGAGAATCTGCAGGGAAGCGCTAGATTGTTTGCCTGTTTTGTCTGTTTGATATACAACCATTGTTGTTCTGTCGGTGGATATGCACAGTGTGCCACTAGGGTTGTCTTGGTCAAAAGGACAAATGAGTGGCTCCTACTAGGGTCTGATCAGAGCACAATTATATTGAGGATTGTTGTTTAAGCTATCGAATTTGTGACTGTCATATCTTTGTTTAAGTCTTGTGATTTAGTGATACGAGTTTCTGTTATTTATATGTGTTGTTAATTACTAGTGTCATATCTTTGTTTAAGAGAGCTTAATTAGGTACAATCATTAGCAAAAAAAGGGTCGGTGGAAGGAAAATGAAAAGAAGAGATGTGTGAACAAGCTTCTCTTCACCATCCCTATTAACACAGCTAATTAGAGTTGCAAGAATTGGTCTCTCTTTGTTCTTGTGTTTGGTATCTAAAATATGTGTCCCACGTTCTCTTTTGTTCTTTATAAATATGTCTGAAAGCAAAAGGGGACCGATTCTTTTTTCCGGACCCCATTGTAGAGGTGACAATGGCTCAAGACTATTGATTGGCTTGAGCCAGCTGGGTTATGTTCTAATCACATGTGGGTCTGATTTTCTTTTTTGGGTTTTAAAAGTATCTGATTCCATAATGTGGGTCTACATTTATTTGTAGCGTCTAATAAAACATAAAACTAAGCCGGGGAAAAACGAATGTAATTTTCGTTTTCTTTTTCGGCTGATTGTGATTTTACCTGTTTTTTTAATAAAATTTACTATGACAAAAAAAAAACAAAAATGTAAATTAAGTTTTTGATTTTATTTTTGAAAGCAGTGGATGGTGCGTTATATGAGGAGAGAGTAGAGGAAGGGTTCACTGGTCTTGGCCGGCCAGGTCTGGAAGAAAATCAAAGGTAGCTTTTGTCGTAGAAAATGAAAACCCTTTGCCGATAAAATAGGTTTGGTTTAGCCAAACCGGAGACACAACTGAGATGTGGGAATTTTATTTTCAAACCGGCGGGTTGGATCATTTTTTTTTGTTGGGGAACAAAACAACAAACAGAGTTAGGTTATTCATGTGGATGAGATTTTGTTGTTTTTATCATTAATTTATTTTAAAAACAGATTTCTTCTTATTTTGTGCAGATACTTCTTCTCTTTGAAAATAATAATTAGATTTGTTTACACAAGTAGAGAGATTGATTTGGTTTAATAATGACTCAATGGCTAATGAAATTGCCTCCTCTCTATTTGTGTCGGTCCAAAAATTGTAAATAATGAAATGTCGTCACTTGTCAGTGAATAATAAGTCTTGCCTTCAATTTAAGGCTCTTTATTATATAAAAGGACAAAGTAACAAAAAAATGTCGGCTTTATTCTTTTATTAATATATACACAAAATGTAAAACGACGATGAAGAAGAAAGAGCTCGAGCTTCTTCGACTCAATTGCTAAAATGGGCCTGAAGAAGCTTACTCGCAGCCAATATAAATCCTGTAAAAAAATTCAATACAATCTAATGAGCTTTTAAGATAATAATGTCCCGTCAGGAATATGAGACAAAGTGTTTCTCAAGACTTGCCTAAAAACAGAGGAGAAGGTCTAGTAGGCCTTGACTTAAATTCTGGATGAAACTGAACTCCAACATAGAATGGATGATCTTGAAACTCAATCACCTGTTGAAACCAACAAATAAGATTTTGACAGAGAGACCAACACTAAGATGGTGTTTTTTCTTATCTCATTGTCTATACCTCAACTCGTTTTCCTGTATCATCTTTACCCACAAATCTTAAACCAGCTTCTTCAAGTGCTTGAGCTACTTCTGGATTCACCTACCATCATCAAATAAAAACACCTTTTTCACATCATTGCTATAGATACATTCACTTAGACCAGCTTACGTTAAATGAAAAACCAACCTCGTAACGGTGCCTATGCCTTTCGTCTACATAACTAACTTCGCCGTATCTGGTAAATGCCCGGAGAGAAAACAACTTGCTGTCTTTAAAACCGTGAACTGAAAACTACAAGGATTCTCAAGGAAACGGCGAAGATAAATGCAATTTTTAAACTTACAGCTTTGAAGTGAGAGAGTCTTGGTTCTGTAAATGTGTTCTTCGGGATCCAAGTCTCATTGTGCTTCCCATATGTGTTCTTGAGCCCTGTGGTAATATCAACAACAGTGAGAGAATGAACGGACTCCGTTGATAGATTTATGAATACATGTTTGGAATACATACTTCTGGCATAAAAATAACAACAGGGTCAGATGTCTGAGCATCGAACTCGGTGCTATTTGCTCTTTCCAAACCCAAAACCTGTAACCCATGTCAGAGAATAAGAAGAAGAACATTAAGAAGATAGTCTTAGGAAGAGAGATAAGGAACACAGCAAGTTGAAGTTATTTCAGAGTTTGCAAAACATTTCTTACAGATCTGGCAAACTCAATTACTGCAATTTGCATCCCCAAGCAGATCCCAAGATAAGGAATTTTGTTCTCTCTAGCGTATTTGGCTGCTAAAACCATTCCGCTCACGCCACGATCTCCAAAACCACCAGGAACCAGAATGCATTCTGCGCTCTGCAAACAACAACAAAAAAAAACAGAGACGATATTGTTGGCAAACAAATGTCTCCTTTTCAATAGACAAGTGGAGAGGTTATGAAATAAATCAAATCAGAGAATTCTAAGACTGAAATTCTCACCTTCAAGATGTTCCAAGCAGCAGCATGTGCCTCCGGAGTCTGCAAAGGAGAAACTACTGCTTAAGAGGAAAACAGTGATAGTGGGGATAAAAACTCTGGATCAGAAAGATTCAAGAAGATGAAAGTCATTAACGATATATACCGATTTCTCACTTTCGTCTTCAAGATCTGAAGCTGCAATCCATTCGATATGTGGCTTCAATGAACATGCAATGCAGGCATGAAGAAGGGCCTGCAATGAAGAAGGAAAATATGAAGAGCAAAGCAAACCAAATGCGATAGAAATTCAATTGAAGAAGACCAAAGTCGAAAATTGACTTTCCAAGTTTACCTTAACAACCGATAGATAAGAATCGGTTAGACCAATGTACTTTCCAACCATAGCAATTTTTACCTGTGCATAACGAAAGGATAGTCTCTTTAAATAAGAAAAGTCAAGGCTCTAAAACAAAGTGTACTGGCCGGTAAATACTCACATGATTTGTCAAGTTATCAAAAGTCTCAGCCATCCTAGTCCAGCTATCCAGATCAGGTGCTGTTGCAACGCTGAAAGAGATGAGTTTATGGAACTTCGTGTTACCCTGAAAGTGTTCAATTATGATATCGGAGTAATGAACACCATAAGAAATGAGACTAACCTAGTTAGATTCAGTTGTTTGAGAATCGAGTGATGAGCGTTTTGATTCTGCAGCAAGAGCATACATGGAAAACTACTTCAATAACAAAACACATATTTCTCTTTCTTTTTTTTGGAAGAGCCAAAAAAGCATCCAACTTACACGGAGTAGGAGAGGAACATGCCAAATGTTTGGAACATCATGGATATTGAGAATATTAGCTGCCTGTAAGAAGTCATCAAGTGATATAAGATCCCAACAGCATAAGATATACATAAGTTCAGTAAATACATAATGTAGATTTCACACAAAAGTTATACCGACACATGACAAAACTGAGACAATTTTGCCTTGGTACTTTCCAGTAGTGGCTGCAGAAAAAAACAAAAAAAAGACTTGTCAAGACTCTGCAGCAACTGTGAGAGGTCAAAGTTTTCCAAGGTATACAAATTACAACTGATCTCAGTAAGTTCTGAAGTGATACCTGAGCAGAGCGACATGCCAAAAAGTGAGGAGTCAATCCCAAAGCTCTTAGTTCTCGGACACTGTGTTGGGTTGGCTTTGTTTTCTGCATGAAGGTTTAAACCGATTTTAAAGTTTACCATCCATTTTAAAAGGGATATAAAGTGTTTGAGCACATGTCTAAGGTAAGAAAATATTCTACCTGCTCCCCAACAACACCCAGAACGGGAATCAAGCTCACGTGAATCAGGCAGAAATTTTCCGGTCCTAGGAAGCGAAATATGAACCAACATCATAATTAAGAATAAAGTAGAGAACCACTGAAAGAAAGCATACTTGCCCCAGAGGAGGAGGATTCACAGGCTCACCAACTGAGAATGACAATTGTCTCAAGGCCTCGATAAAAGGCATTGATTCGATGTCACCTATCATAAGCAGAAAAACTAAGTAAATAAGGATCTTTAATTTAAAACCGTAATTAAGTAAACGAGAACCAGAAATGAATGGTATCGTCAAAAGCTCTTACCAACAGTCCCGCCCAACTCAATAACACAAACATCAGCTTGGCCTTCCATTCCATCCACAGGAATCAGAGAAACTGACTCAATCCAATCCTTGATTGCATCAGTAATGTGTGGAACAACCTAAAAACCGATTTAAATTGGAATAACATGAGCTAACGTACAACATAATCTACTAATTCACCCACACAAACATTTACCTGAACAGTCTTCCCAAGATAGTCGCCTTTCCGTTCCTTCTCAAGAACAGACTGGTGAGGGTAAAGGGGAAAAATTTAATCACTATATAGCGAAAAAAAACCCCGGCGGTTTCAAAACGTTAGCAGCATACATTTAACACAACAATGCCTCCCAAATCAGTACCTGATATATCTTCCCAGTGGTTATGTTGTTGTCTTTGGTTAGTGTCACATCGAGAAATCTTTCATAGTTCCCCAAATCAAGATCAACCTAAGAAGGAACACAAACAGGGATATACAACCATTCTCAAGAAGCAATAAGATGCTTTACGAAACAAATGTAAAGAAGAATGAAAACGAAGAAAACCTCTCCACCATCATCAAGTACAAAAACCTCTCCATGCTCAAAAGGGGACATAGTACCAGCATCAGTGTTCAAATATGGATCTGCATAAATAGAATTGGAGAGCAAAAGTCAAGATCAACACAAAAAGGCTCAAACTTTATAGTCTGAAACCCAAAATTGTTACAGTTTCTAGTCAAAAGGGGAATGGAAATGAGAAATTCCAATATGCAGAGAGAAGAGATCTTAACCAATTTTAATGGAGGTAACTCGAAGGCCACAAGCTTTAAGCACGACGCCGATACTACTGGCGGTAACGCCTTTGCCAAGCCCACTCACCACTCCTCCAGTCACCAATACGTACTTCATCTCCGAAACTAGAGCACAGGCTAGTCTGGAGAGAACGCACACCAACTGTTTGTGTTAATGTCTGATCGAAACTACAAAGCGACACCAAACTCTGGTTTCCATTGACGGATACGGAAAAAGCTGACTTCTTTTCGAGGATCAATTGTATTCTACCACTAGTAAGCTCCCACGTGTCACACTCCCAAATTGTATGTGCATAATCAAGGATTTTATGCAATTTTTAGCAGAGTGCAAAAAAAAGTAAAAAACCATCTAAAGCTAAACTTTATCTGTATTTTTATATTATTTTATATATATTGTATAGATTATTTTTTTTTTTGGTGCTTCCAGGGGACTCCCTCTAATTATTCATAAAATTAAAAATAAAGTATTACAAGCGAACAAAACGCGAGACTTCTATCCCGTTAATATCATCCAACAATATCGAATGAACACTATCAGGACAAGAATCTAGACAAAGAAAACCAAGATCCAACGAGAACGCATAGTTCGCTAATCTATCTGCAAGACGATTAGCCTCCCTATACACATGAGTAACCCGGACTAGCCAGTCCCTTGAGATAAAGCCTTGGCACAACCGTACCAGGAAAGACAGCGGATGAGCATCGCTTATCCCTGCATGCAAAAAACCAACCACCAACTTGGAATCCACTTCCAGCTCCATACGTCGAAAACCTCTCTCCCAGGCAATAACGAGCCCATAGTATACTCCCCACAACTCCGCTAAAGGTGCTGAACAAATCCCTATATTCAAGGCGAAGCCGCCTAACCACTCTCCGTCAAAACCCCGGATCACTCCTCCAGCCGTCGCTGGCCCCGGGTTCCCATGAGAGGCACCATCAGTTGAGAGCTTAACCCACCCTTCCCTTGGTCTCTTCCAACTTATAATCTGTTCAATTGGAGTCTCCGACCGCGTCCCACCTTGGACCAGAGAATGAGACCGTACTGTCTCCGCTGCTAACTCCTTTACGAATCTGACCCGATCCCTACACCTCCCTTGTTCACCAAAAACATTCCCACACATCCACTTCCATGCCCACCACACCGCACAACTAAACAACGTGGGCCAATTCTCTTCTCCCGGTCGTGATCGGTCCCTGAGGTTATCAAATAACCACTCCAAGAGGCTCTGCTCAAAGAAAACACGCCTCCGGTATTGTGGTACCACTCGTAACCAGATTCCATACATTGCCGGACAGTCCCTCAGCACGTGTATCGTCGTCTCCACTGCTCCCCGACAAACTTGACACACATCACTCTCTCCCATGTGTCTCCGCACTCTCTCGACATTAGTCATGATCACTTGGTGTCCCGTCAACCAAAGGAACACCCGTATTCTCTCTTGTGCCACTATAGACCAAACCTGCTTGAAGAAACGCTCCATGTCTGGTCTCGGGGTAGCATCATGTGTGAGGATCGCATATGCAGACTTCACAGTAAACCTACCATTTGAATTTCCGGACCAAGACAGCCTGTCTCCGAGACCTGGGCACCCTTTAATCACCACCGCATACAGCCGCTTCATAATATTCTCCGGAAGATAAGGCCTAAGTTGCGACACATCCCAGCCCACTCCCACGATCCAATAATCCTCCAACTTTTTATTAATCACTTCATTTGGTAATGGGCTTGTGGCCCAAGTCAACAATGGTTCCTCTAAAACCCATCGGTCCGACCAAAACCGGATCAACCGACCATCTCCTGGAACCCATCTTAACCCGCGAGCAACAACATCTCTCAACCCGACTCCAACACTGCGCCAAGTCGAGGACCAGCTTCCCTTAGGTACAACCCAAGTATAATCATGCATGTCCCCTACCTTGTATTTACTTCGAACAACTCGGGCCCAAAGACTCTTCTCATCACTAAGTAATCTCCACCCAACCTTAGCCAAAAGAGCTTTGTTCATTTCTCGTGACTTACGTATCCCTAGACCACCTTCTCCTTTCGGCTTACACACTTTTTTCCAGGCTAACAAGTGTAACTTCTTCTTCTCCGTTGTTCCACCCCATAGAAACGTCCTTGATAACTTATCCAAGCTGTCCAAGGTCGAAGCCGGAAGTAGAATTGAGCTCATGGTGTGAACTGGGATAGACGATAAGACCGCCTTTGTCATCGTGATCCTACCCGCCAAACTCAAAGTCCGACACTTCCACCCAGCTAGTCTTGACGACACTTTCTCTAACACTTCTCCGTATGTCTCTTTATTTATTCTCTTCTGTCAAATCGGCATCCCTAGATACTTTCCCAATTCTCTAGTTGAACCAATTCTACTTTCTGCCGTGATCATATCACGACTAACATTATTCGAGAAAAAGATCTTTGATTTCTCCAAGCTCACTTTCTGCCCCGACGCTAAACAAAACCTCTCCAAAACCCGCCTGATCACTCTAATCTGTGCTACCGATGCCTCCGTGAAAAGAATAAGATCATCCGCAAAGCAAACATGTGATAGCTTAGGACCCCCTCTCGATAAACTTATCGGCTTCCAGTCACCTAACCCCACCGCATGATCAATTTGATGACATAACCTCTCCAAACATAACACGAACAAGTACGGAGAAAGAGGGTCTCCTTGTCGTAAACCACGCGCTGGTGCAAAAGACTCCGTCTTCTCCCCATTCCATAAAAGACTCATTGCGGGATTAGAAACACATTCCATAACGCGACTACTCCACTCCTCCGATAAACCCGCTGCCCCTAGTGTCTCTTGTAAAAAATCCCACCTTATCCGATAGTAGGCTTTCTCAAGATCCAACTTCAACAACATCCATCCCTTACGACATTTCTTCCTCCTCATAGAATGTACCGCTTCTTGCACCACAACTATGTTGTCGATACTCAATCGTCCCGGTATGAAACTTGCTTGAGCCGGGCCTATAAGCTTGGAGATAACACTCTTAAGCCGAATCACCATCATCTTTGTTATAATCTTGAATAACACGTTGCATAGGCTAATCGGACGGAATTGAGTGATACGTTCTGGTTTCAACACTTTCGATATCAAGACCAACAAAGCGTCATTGGTTGAATGCGGGAGCACACCCGTCGTGAAGAAATCCAACACAAAACGTGAAACCGAGTCACCTACCACCTCCCAACACTCTTGGTAAAACACGGGCTGAAACCCATTCGGTCCCGACGCTTTGTATTTCCCCATACTTTTAACCGCTGTCACTACTTCTTCCAACGAAAAAGGCTTATCCAATTGACTCCTCTCCAATATAGATAAACCCGTGAACCCTCCTGTTGGTAAGCTATCCCGCACTAAACTCACATCTTCAAGAGAATATAGTCTTCTATAATAGGCTAGAGCAAGCTTCTCTAGCTCATCCTTGTCCGAAATCTACCTGTTCTCCTCATCTCTCAACATTTCAATCCGATTCTTCCGTCTCCGGATATTAGTTGAGGTATGAAAAAAAGTTGTATTCCTATCTCCCAGCGAGATAAACCTTTCCCTCGATTTTTGGAACCAAATCATCTCCTCCTGTTCCAACAATATATCGAGATCTTTTAGCAACTTCTCCTCCTTTGCTAAAATGTCATCGGACTGGTGGACATCAAATAAGTCTTGTATCTCCTTGATCTCATTAGCCAGCTTCTCTTTCCTCATATTAACCTCACCAAAGACTTCTTTATTCCATTTGCTCAGTTTCCACTGCAATTTTTGTAACGCCTCCACAGTCGACATGTTTGAGTCCCATGACGCCATTAGCATTTCTTTAAAACCCTCATGACTCAACCATACCGCCTCAAAGCGAAACGGTCGTCTTCTCGGGTCCATGTTCGGTTGTGGTGACAGTTGAATATACAGGGGAGCGTGGTCAGAAGATAAAAATGGGAGATGAGAAACAATCGCCTCCTGCCATTTTAGTCTAGCGTGAGCACAGCAAAAAACCCGATCCAATCTTTTCGCCACAAACGTACTCTCCACACGTCCTCTCTTCCAAGTAAATTTATTCCCTTTAAAACCCAAATCAATTAATGAGAGTTCATTAATCCAGTCTCCAAAGGCTAAGGAATCTGGTGACAATCTCCCATTACCCCCTGTTCTCTCATCTAACCGTAGAATGGTATTAAAGTCACCACCAATAATCAACGATCCATCTATCTCACGAGTGAGCTCTCGCAACTCGCCCCATAAACCACTCCTACAGCTCACTGTTGGCGCTGCATACACCACCACCAAATGCGTAACCTCCTCTCCACTCGTTATTTTCGCATAGATGAATTGGTTAGACGAAGCAGCGATCTCTACTTCTCCCACACTTGACCTCCACAGCAACCAAAGACCACCACTCTGGCCCGTCGCCTCTACCCGGAATGAATTCTCTAATCCCAACCGCTGACAGATCCTACTCGCTCTTTCTCCCTCGGCGTGAGTCTCAAACATAGCAAGAACATCAATTTCATACTTCTTCAACATATATCGTATCGAACGTCGAAAACTGGGTTTATTCGCCCCCCGACAATTCCATAGCAAGCAATTCATGATGATTATTTTCAACACTTTTTGAAACGCCGGGGCGACCCATTATTTGTCACTCATGACAACTGCAGAGTCCACCGTCTCCATTCGCAGGCCCGAAGATAACTCACTATTCTTCTCCGAAACCTCTACCTCCCCCGTGGGCATATCAGCAATTCTCAGTACCACTTCCCTCTCACGACGTGGTACAACACTCCCATTCACAAACACACCTCCTTCTCTACCAACGTAATCTGTCTCCATTCGTAATCGTTTCCCCGTCGCCACCATTTCATTTTCTCCTCTAGTGGGCCCGTAAACTTAACCTCTAGTGGGCCTATTTGGCTTAGGCCCTTTTTTCGGCCCAACACCCTTTCCATTTCGAGGCCCAACATTCTTATTCCCCAAATCTCCTCTTCGAGTACCCCCTTGCCCACGATTCTCTTGCCTCAAAGCCTGTCTTTCCTTCGTTTGCTCCACAGACTTTAATGCACTCGGGATATTCATCACATTAATATTTTCCTTATTAGCTTCCCCTGATTCAGTAACCTTCCTCATCCCCTCTGCCACTGAATCCTTCTGTAATCCACTGAATCTGTTCGATATGGAAAGATTGCTTGGACCCGTAGATTGCGCCATTACTCCAACATTCCTTTCATGTACCTTTCCCGAACCACCTGCAGCGAAGACGACCGGCGCCACCGGTGCCTCAA